ACCACAACCCCAAGACTCCACTAAACCCTAAGTAAACCCTAAAACCCTAAACCCTAAAGCCTAAAGCCCTAAACCCTAAAGCCGAAACCCTAAATCCGAAACCCGAAAGTCCTAAAACCATAAACGTGGCCAGCGGCGGAAGGAAGGATCCGAAGCCGCAGCCCAACCCCCAAAGCCTCTGCTGCTGCGGGTGTAGGGTTTAGGGTTTAGGGTTTAGGGTTTAGGGTTTAGGGTTTAGGGTTTAGGGTTTAGGGTTTAGGGTTTAGGGTTTAGGGTCAGCCCGCGCTGCGCATGGACTTGTGGATCACTGTAGCCAGAGGCGGGGGACGGGGAGTTCTGGGTTCGGGTTTGCCCTAAACCCTAAACCCTAAACCCTAAACCCTAAACCCTAAACCCTAAACCCTACGCCCCAAACCCTGACCCTAAACTTCAAACCCCCTAAACCCAAAAGGGGGACAAGTGAGTTTAGGCCTTAGGGGCTCGTCAAACCTTCGGGATGTTGCAGGGCCTGGCCACATAAGGGTTTAGGGTTTTCGGGTTCAGTGCTTTAGGGGTTTTAGGGGTTGTAGGGGCTTTAGGGGTTGTAGGAGTTTTCGGGTTCAGGGCTTTTAGGGCTTCAGGGGTTTTAAGGGGGTTTTAGGGTTGAGGGTTGAGAGCCTATCCTGGAGGCAACCGTAGAACCCAAAAACCCCAAAAGCCTGAACACCCCCAGCCGTAAACCCTAAACCGTACACCCTTGGAGCCCCTAAGAACCTAAAACCCAATGCTACAGGCACCGCAACAAAGGTGCCACAACATGAGGTCTTTTTTGTTTTGTTTGTGTGCGTGTGTGTGTGTTCCTCACCCTCTCCCTCTCCCTCTCCCTCTCCCTCTCCCTCTCTCCCTCTCCCTCTCCCTCTCTCCCTCTCCCCTCTCCCCCTCCCTCCTCCCTCTCCCTCTCCCTCTCCCTCTCCCTCTCCCTCTCCCTCTCCCTCTCCCTCTCCCTCTGCCTGCCTCTCTCTAGCTCTCTCTGTCTCTCTCTCTCTTTCTTTCTTTCTTTCAATAAATAGACATACAATACGTATATTTATACATATGTATATAGTACTATGGTATAAAAGCATTTGTGCTTGCTAGTGCTTATATGGGAGTTTACGAAAATAAGGGACGCTTAATATAGACCCCAAGTAGTAGGATTTCCTTTTCATAAGGATCCCAATAAGGTACCCCTAATTTCGAAAACCCCCCATGTCTGGTCTAGTTCAATCAAGAACAAGCCCGAGTCCCTAACCGGTTTAGTGATTTCCCCAAAGCTGTGTCTCCAGAATGCTAACATTCGATTTGTCAGGAGCCTCAAAATGGGAAACCGTAAGCCCTAAACCCTAAACCCTAAACCCTAAACCCCAAATTGAAAAAAACCCGAAGCCCTAAACCCTAAACCCTAACCCTAAACCCTAAACCCGAAACCCTAAGCCCTAAGTCCTAAGTCCCCAAGGTTCCGGGTCTTCGCCATGGAGCAGAGCCATGGCGGTGTCAGCAGTGTAGTGCATCTTGCGTGCTTTTCCATACCTGGAGTAGGGTTTGGGGTTTAGGGTTTAGGGTTTAGGGTTTGGGGTTTGGGGTTTGGGGTTTGGGGTTTGGGGTTTGGGGTTTGGGGTTTGGGGTTTGGGGTTTGGGGTTTGGGGTTTGGGGTGTGGGGTTTGGGGGTTTGGGGTTTGGGGTTTGGGGTTTAGGGTTTAGGGTTTAGGGTTTAGGGCTTCGAGCTTGGGGTCTAGTGTTTCTAGTCTTCAGGATTTCGGCTTTGGGTGCCTCGGGGTTTCGGGTTTCTGGTTTTCGGGACATAGGCGGGGCTTCTGTGAAGGAGCTCCTAATGAAGCCAGCGTGGTGTAAGGCCGTCTTGTTCATCTTGGTAGCCCAGGAGCCATATTACAATAAGGGCTGCCACTAGCCCTACACCCTAAACCCCTGTGGATTTAGAAGGGGTTTAAATAGGGTTTAGGGTTTAGGGTTTAACTGACATTGTTTGAGTTTTATCCCCTTACTATGGCAGCTTGAGTTCCTGAGAAGAACCCAGCTTAGGACGTCGGAGGTGAAGGGCTCAAGCCGCAGGAGGCTGAGGGTTTAGGGTTTAGGGTTTAAGGATTAGGGTTTAGGGTTTCGGGTTTAGGGTTTAGGGTGGAGAAGCTTTGGGTACGCATTGCGGATTTAGGAGCACACTGAAAGCTAAAGGCCGTCATGAGCAGGAGTTTAGGGTTCAGGGTTCAGGGTTCAGGGTTTAGGGTTTAGGGCTCAGATGCATACTTGCCCCTAGTGAAGGGTTTCGGATCTAGGGTGTAGGGTTTGGGGGAAGGCACTTGTGGTTTGAGGTTTAGACCGGTTTCGGGGTTTTAGGGTTTCAGAAGCGTGGGGCCCGTGCAAAAGATGCAGCTCGGGGTTTAGGGTTTAGGGTTTAGGGTTTAGGGTTTAGGGTTTAGGGTTTAGGGTTTAGGGTTTAGGGTTTAGGGCCTAAACCCTAAACCCTAAACCCTAAACCCTAAACCCCACACCCTAAACCCTAAACCCTAAACCCTAGGGTGTCATGGTTTAGGGTTGAGGGTTTAGGGTGTAGGGCGTCATGGTTGAGCTTCGGAAGTACCTAAGCCCGACACCCAAGAGAGTGGAACGCTAGGGCACAGTGTGGGGGGGCCCGAAACCCTGAACACCAAACCCTAAACCCTATGCAAAGACCACACAGAAGCATGAAGGAGCAACAACTGAACCAAACCCTAAACCCTAAACCCTAAACCCTAAACCCTAAACCCTAAACCCAAGTTGATGCTGCAAGGAAGCCATCCGTCGATCAGAAGCACTCCCTGATCGCACTTGATGTACTTCCTCAACTGGGGGGTTTCCGAAAGTAGGGTTTAGGGTTTAGGGTTTAGGATTTAGTGTTTAGGGTTTAGGGTTTAGGGGTACCTTATTGGGGTCCTTCTTGTCAGGGAATCAGACTATTTGGGGACCATATTGGGGTTTTTTAGGGGTCCCTTATTTTCCTACTTCCTCACTTGAGAGGAGCTCTGCAACGCCCTTCTTCATAGAGGGAATGAGGTACCCGATATCCCCCAAGAAAATATACAAAAAGTCATCCTGGAGTAGATGGCATTTGCCAATCTTCAATTTTAAAAAGGTGGGTTCCCAACACGATAGATAGGGTATGGGTCAGGGGCTTGTTGAACCCTATCTCCATTTCCTTTTCCCTCTATGCAAGCATATTCTATCTATGGGGTTCGGAAAACATTTTTGAATGCCATCTACTCCAGGATGACTATACCCTTTAAGGGATTATGTTCATAAATAGGGCTTAGAAGGGATGCCAGCCCAACAAAGAAGGGAATAAGAGCCTACTCAGTCCCATATGCCAGGTTCCAGCCCGCTCTGCTTGCACCAGTTACAACGCCAACCCGTCCGAAGCCCTCTATAAACCCTAAACCCTAAATCCCTAAACCCCACCAAAACCCTAAATACGAAACCCAAAACTGCAACCTTGTTTTTGGAAAGTTTGCCCCGAAGCCCTAAATCCTAAACCCCTAAACCCTAAACCCAAAAAAACACCTAAACTCTAAACCCTAAACTCCTAAACCCCTGAACCCCTAAACAATTCAGCCTAGGATCGGGTTCTCGATGTGGCGGAAAGTCGGGAAAAGATCCCGGCGAAGGAGCTGTCCCCTGAGCATCGTCACGAAAGGACCACTGTTTCGGGTTAGGGGTTTAGGGTTTAGGGTTTAGGGTAGGTGGTCAAATTTTTGGGTCAGGTTTCGGAGCTCCGGGTTTTGGGGGAGGATGGTTTGGGGTTTAGGGTTTAGGGTTTAGGGTTTAGGGTTTAGGGTTTAGGGTTTAGGGTTTAGGGTTTAGGGCTTAGGGTTTAGGGTTTAGGGTTTAGGGTTTAGGGTTGAAAGTGCTTGGGTAGTCAAACTGCAAGTTCTAATCGCCTAAAGTCGGTATTCCCTTACGCATCCGAACCCAACTCCCGCAACTACTCATGAGCTACATGGGTATTTCCTCAAATGGGGGGGGGGTATCCTTAATGTACCCGAAAATCGTGTAATCTTTACCTTGGCTGACTTCTGAGCCCCTCCAAAAAGTTTAACTTGTAGACATTGTAGACACAACAAGTTAAAGTCCTAAGACCCAGCCAGAAGAAAGCCAAGCCTCATTCTAGGATCCCCCAAAACCCTAAACCGTAAACCCTAAACCCTAAACCCCCGTATTTTCGGAAACACCCAAGTTGAGGAAGGGCGTAGTGGTTCAAGGAGAGCAGCGAAGCTTCCTTGCATCACCCTGTGAGCAAGATACAGGCACAAAACCTTCGGTCGCCTCAGCATTTGCAACAAAGCCCTAAACCCTAAACCCTAAACTTTCTAAACCATTGTAGGGTTTAGGGTTTAGGGTTTAGGGTTTAGGGTTTAGGGGCTAGGGTCTAGGGTTTTAGGGTTTAGGGTTTAGGGTTTAGGGTTTAGGGTTTAGGGTTTAGGGTTTAGGGTTTAGGGTTTAGGGTTTAGGGTTTAGGGTTTAGGGCATAACTTCCACTGCTTAACATCCAAATCCATGCATCCGAAGCCCGAAAACCTACCCACACTATTAAGTTGTGCTGCTTCTTAGGAATTATAGTACCCAACAATTTAAATAGTCCCAAAGTATCCCGAAGTAAACCCCAAGTCCTCAATCCGAAGTGAAGAGCTCCTAAGCAGCAAGCGCCCCTAAACCCCAAACACCAAACACTAAACCCTAACCCTAAACCCCTAAAACCCTAAGACCCTAACCCCCTAACTCTCCCGAAACCCTAAATCATATACACTGAAACCCCTAAAACCCCCTCAGCCCTTCACCCTAAACCGTACACCCTAAACCCTAAAACCCTAAACCCTAAAACCCTAAAACCCTAAAACCCTAAAACCCTAAAACCCTAAAACCCTAAAACCCTGAAAACCCTAAAACCCTAAAACCCTAAAACCCTAAAACCCTAAAACCCTCAACCGTAAACCCTAAACCCTAAACCCTAAACCCTGAACAATCGGCCTCATCTCTGCCTTGAAGTAGCACTTCTGGTAGTTTGCCTCGTCCCACAGCGCGTACATCAACACGAGCAGGACGGAGATCACCTATAGGGCGCAGGGCGAGGTTTAGGGTTCAGGGTTCAGGGTTCAGGGTTCAGGGTTTAGGGTTTAGGGTTTAGGGTTTAGGGTTTAGGGTTTAGGGTTTAGGGGCCATCTAACACATCCAGGCAAACCCATCGAGGCATCCAAACATCGCGGCCAGTAAACCTCGAATCCCTAGACCCCGAAACCTAGCATTCAGGCTGTAGGGCTTAAAGTCCTAAGCCCTATATGCCCCGACACCCTAAACCCCAAAACCTAAACCCTAAACCCCAAACCCTAAACCCCAAACCCCTAAACCCCTAAACCCCAAACCCCAAACCCTAAACCCTAAACGCTGGCCATGCCGCTGCGTAGTAGAGACCCGGGAGGGGTGGCAGGACCAATCCGGCCCAACTGTTCTTGCACAGGAACAGCGACCTGCACGAGGCTGGATTCTAGGGGTTCTACCTTGGACCCTTAAGGTTGTACCCTTGGGTTTTGGGGCTTGAAGGACCCTGAAACACTAGGGCCTCTTGAGGCCGAAACTAGGGTTTAGGGCTTGGGGCTTGAGGTATTAGGGTTTAGGGCTTGAGGGAGGGTCTAGGTTTAGGGCTTGAGGGTTTCAGACCTTTAGGCCGTGAGGGGAGTGGAACTTCGAGGTTTCAGAGGGTCAGATTTGGGTTTAGGGTTTCGAGCTTAGAGCTCCTCGGGGTTTCTGTGCGCTGAGGTAAGAGCCGGGCACCCCTGCCATATCTTCTTTCCACAAATAACGACAGAAAAGCCTCAACCCCAAGCCCTGGGGGCGGAATCTCCAAAACTTCGTGTGCGCCCTCTCAAAAGACATCAACCTACCGCGAAGTCCACCCTATATACCCTCAACACCAAACCCTAAACCCTAAACGGGCTTAGGGGTCTAGGGGTCTAGGGTTGAAAGCTCTACATCGAAACGCCGAAACCCCGAACCCCTGTGCGGAGCCCATGTACCACAGCATCATTCTTGTGGCCTGATATAAACAGAAACCCTAAATCCTAAACCCCTAAACCCTTAAACCCCTACACCCCTAAACTGTTAGGTAAGTCCATTGCAGGGTAGGCTAGCCCTAAACCCTAAACCCTAAACCCTAAAGCCTACACCCCTAAACTGTTAGGTAAATCCATTGCAGGGTAGGCTAGCCCTAAACCCTAAACCCTGAACCTTCAACCCCTCGGTAAATCCATTGCAGGGTAGGCGGCTGGTAGCAGTAGAGCAGCGGAACGCCCGCAAGGTTCCACCAGCAAAGCCTGGAAGCCCAAAGCTCGTTTCTTGGGCACTCGAACCCAGAACTCCCTTTGTGTAAGGTTTAGGGTTTAGGGTTTGGGGTTTGGGGTTTAGGGGTTTAGGGGTTTAGGGGTTTAGGGTTTAGGGTTTAGGGTTTAGGGTTTAGGGTTTAGGGTTTAGGGTTTAGGGTTTAGGGTTCAGGGTTTAGGGTTTTGGGTTTTGGGTATAGGGTATAGGTGTTAGGGTTTAGGGTTCGGGTTTAGGGTTTAGGGTACATGGCCCTAAATCCGGGAAGCCCAACAACCTCGCAGCATGTAAATAAGCTGCCCAAAGAAACCCTAACCCACAAACCTAACACCTTACATGGGGCTTCGTCACTCGGACAAAATCCTAAGCCCGAAGCCTTGTACATCCCAAAACAAGCTCAAACCCTAAACCCTGAGCCCGGGTTTAGGGTTTAGGGTTTAGGATTTAGGGTTTAGGGTTTAGGGTTTAGGGTTTAGGGCTTAGGGTTTATCACAGAGTATAATTGAGCTCACCCAAAGCCATCCAAGAAATGACAGCCAGGAAACCCACAAGTTGGCTTAGACACCCCCAACGCCCAAAGTACCCACACAGCTATGTACCCTAAACCCTAAACCCTAAACCCTAAACCCTGAACCCTAAACCCTAAAAATCCTGAACCCCTGAACCCTGCAACTTAAGGTGCAGTGGTTTCGGGGTTGAGCTTCGGGCTCAAGGAGGGTTTCGGGTTTAGGGTTTAAGGTTTAAGGCACTCCTAAACCCTGTTAAGGTTTAGGGTTTAGGGTTTAGGGTTTAGGGTTTAGGGTTTAGGGTTTAGGGTTTAGGGTTTAGGGTTTAGGACCCTCAGCCCCCAACCCTAAACCTTAAACCCTAAACCCTAAACCCTACCCCCTAAACCTTAGACTTTGTGAGGCCGTGCCACATCCAACCAAACTTCTCTGTGGTGATGTCCCAGGTATATGGGATAAAATGCTCACCTGCAGATGCCGGGGGTTTATAGCTGAGGGTTGCGGGTTTGGACCCTAAACCCTAAACCCTAAACCCTAAACCCTAAACCCTAAACCCTAAACCTTAAACCCTAAACCCTAAACCCCTAAACCCTAAACCCCGAAGGGGGGCCGAAATGATCTCTCTGAAGACTGGGGGGGGGGGGGGGGCTTGCAGGCCCAAGTTGGAGGGGGGGGGGAGGTTTAGGGTTGAGGGTTTAGGGTTTAGGGCTGCGCCGTAAGCTCCACATTCTGAACCCACTGCGAGATGCCTTCCTTATGCAAGGAGGTTCGCCTACTGTTTGGGGCTTAGGGCTTAGGGCTTAGGGCTTAGGGTTTAGGGCTTAGGGTTTAGGGTTTAGGGTTTAGGGTTTAGGGTTTAGGGTTTAGGGTTTAGGGCTGCGCACAGATGCATCTCTTCCCGAGGATCCTGGAGGGATTCGGGTTTTGGCTTTGGCTCCTCAGTGTTGCCTAAGGATTCCCAGGGCAGGCCCAGAGTGGGGTTTAGGGTTTAGGGCTAGGGTTTAGGGTTTAGGGTTTAGGGTTGAGGGTTCAGGGTTTAGGGTTGCTCCAAGCATCGAAAGTTCCAGGGGGTTACGAAACATGTCAGGCTTTTAGGGTTTCGGGTTTGGGGCTTGGGGCTTAATTAGGGTTCTAGGCCTAGGCCCTACAATCTCTAAACCCTAGCCCTAAACCCTAAACCCTGAGCCCCTTTGCACAAGTTCTTTGCTGACCCGCCTTTGGCGCATGCCTGACCATAGAGAAAGTGTGCCAGCACCATGAAGGCCGTCCTTTGAACTGGGAGCATGGGGGTTTAGGGTTTCGGCTTTAGGGCTACAGTTTAGGGTTTGAATAGGGGTGTTGGGTTTAGGGTTTAGGCGTTTGAGTTTAGGGTTTAGGGGTGTTGGGCTAGCGCTTAGAGGTTTAGGGGTTTTGGGCTTCGGGTGGACAGATTTTGGGGAGCAAAGGAAGGGGGGGGGGGGGGTCAAAAGGGGATGAATTGCCTGGGACGACATAACCCACACGTCATAAACAATCAGAGCAGCGGCGCAAGCCAGCCCGCTGCCCCAATGCCACCTGTTGCTTCGAAGGCATGCAGCACGCCCCGCAGCGACAGTACGGTTTCAAGCCTCTTCGCCTCCCAGCGGCCGCGCCGTCTCGCGCAAGAACTCGGCGAAACGCTGTTCGCAAGGCTGTGGAACCCTAAACCCTAAACCCTAAAAACCCTAAAACCTTTCAGTATCGCAGCGGAGTGTCTCGTGGAGTACCTTTGCTCACGGACACTAATCAGCGGGCATCAGACATTGCCACAGCGTTCGGGAGTGAGAATTCCTGCTGCATGAAGCACGGCCACCCTAAATCTTAAACCCTAAACCCTAAACCCTCAACCCTAAACCCTAAACCCTAAACTCCGACTTCCCGGATCAACACCCTAACACCACCCCTTTATAAGCCCTCTGACACCCCTTGAGCCCTCTCAGGTCCCCGCAACCCAAGAATGCCTTTAACCCCCATTCAATCCTAAACCTTAAACCCTAAACCCTACACCCTGAATCCTAAACCCTAAACCCTAAACCCTAAACCCTAAACCCTAAACCCTAAACCCTAAACCCTAAACCCTAAACCCTAAACCCTAAAGCCCAACCAAATCCCCCAAAACTTCCGCAGAGGGGCGGGTTCAGCCAGCTGCCCGTCAGCCGGGACGTCTCCACATAACCTGCGACTCGCAGGCGTTGGGAGGCGTCTGAGGCTTTGGGGCTTCAAGGCTGTAGCCCTAAACCCTAAACCCTAAACCCTAAACCCTAAACTCTTAGGGTGTAGGGTTTAAAGGCTTCGGTGGCTGAGGGCTCAAGGGCGTGAGAGTTGTTTGGGGGGCTTCGGGGCGTCAGCGGCCGACAGCTTGAGGGCGCTATCTTTTTTGGCTTTTGGGCTGAGTTTATGGAACCCTAACTTACAGTACTGTATCATCCACACACCCCTAAACCCCAAACCCTATAAACCCTAAACCCTAAACCCTAGACCCTGAACCCTAAACCCTAAACCCTAAACCCCGAACCCTAAGGCAAGTAGCAGCCCAAGGTAATCAGCAGCAGCAGGGTCCACGACAGCCGCGTCTCGGCCACCATCTTGACCTCAGCCCCCAAAAACCCTAAGCCCTAAACCCCAAACCCTAAACCCTGAACCCTATACCCTAAACCTCGAAGCCCCAAGCCCCAAACCATACTCCCAGTCTCCACTGGGGAGTTTAGGGTCTAGGGTCTAAAGGTGTTGGCTGAAAATAATTTCTAGCCCTAACCAGCTTTGGCTTACGGTTTAGAACAAGGGCTTTAGGGTTTAGGGTTTACATGCGCAGGCCGTGTGGACTGGACTATTTAGCCCTAAACAAACTTTGGTTTGCGGTGTAGAATGGGTTTAGGGTTTAGGGTTTAGGGTTTAGGGTTTAGGGTTTAGGGTTTAGGTTTAGAGTGTAGGGTTTAAAGGTGTGGGTCCTAAGCTGGCGGTGAATTCCGTGCCTGTACATATTTCCCACTGTGTCGCTCTTTGAGGGATTACACAGTGAACCAGAGTACGTACGGAGGAAGCTTCCCAGATTCCCAACTAAGAATCTCATGGTCGGTAGGAGAACTTGGGACCACTTCTACCTGCTGTCTACGCCATGGCTTTTTCTTGTGGATCGTGTGGCCCGTATGGCCAGTTCACTTCTCCAAAATTATGCATTGGCCTAAACCTGAACCCGAAATCCTAAATCCTGAACCCGAAATCCTAAACCCTAAGCCCGAAAACCTAATCCCCAAGGGTGCCTAAACTCCCTCATTCCCTACTAAGAGCCAGTAAGTTTAGGGCTTGTAGTATAGGGGCCATAATAATTAAAGAACAGGGTTTTGGGAGACTTATTTTTGCATATCTATAAAAGGTGCCATAAGGGAATACTGTTACAACTTATTCCGGCCCCTAAACCCTAAACCCTATAGTAGGGCTTGCCGGGCCTGGTTTGACAAGTGCGGACGAAGGGGCATCTACCAACTTGCCGACGCGAGGATGGAGGGCGGTTCCTGAGCTCCCTCTGCCTTGACCCTACTGATGGGGTTTAGGGTTTAGGGTTTAGGGTTTAGGGTTTAGGGTTTAGGGTTTAGGGTTTAGGGTTTAGGGTTTAGGGTTTAGGGTTTAGGGTTTAGGGTAAGTTTAGGGTTTAGGGTTTAGGGTTTAGGGGACAAGGCTTAAGGCTGGTGGGAAGTGGTGGAAAAACCTAAGTGCCGCCCAGAAAGGCCACAAAAGAAGGGTTCAGAGTTTGGGGTTGAGGTTTTCAGGGTTCTAAACCCTAAACCCTAAACCCTAAACCCTAAACCCTAAACCCTAAACCCTAAACCCTAAACCCTAAAACCTAATTCCTAGACCCGAAACCCGAAACCCTATGAACCTAAACCCGAAACACGAAACGCGGAAAGCCCAAGGCTGAACCCTCATAAACCCTAAACACTAAACCCTAAACCCGAAACGCGGAAAGCCAAAGGCTCCCATGAAGAAGGCATAGATGCTCTCCAGCTCCTTGCCCTTGGCCTCAACAGTTTTAGGGCTTAGGGTTTACGATTAGGGTTTAGGGTTTTGAGTTTAGGGTGTCGGGTTTCGGGTTAGGGAACAGCATAAATAGGGATTTCGAATGTGATTTCAGGAATGTTCCTTCCTAAGCCCTAAACCCTAAACCCTAAACCCTAAACCCTAAACCCTAAACCCTAAACCCTAAACCCTAAACCCTAAACCCTAAACCCTAAACCCTAAGGAGAGTTTGAATCTCGAGGTGGCTAGTCTTCTAAGTTGGGTCTTCAGGTCAGGCTTTATCGGCCTTTTTTGGAATAGTTCTAGCAACCTAGGAACAGAAAAGGGAACCTGAAACCCGAAACTCAAAAGCCCTAAGCCCCCTAACCCTAAACCCTACACAACCCTAAACTCAAAAACCCTATGAGTTTAGGATTGAGGGTTTAGGGCTTCTAACCCACCCTAATTGAACCTTGAACCGCTACATTCAATCTTACGCATCCCGAGGGGCGTAGCACACGTGAATGACCACGGAGTAGATATCGCCAAGAATGATGGCCGTGGACATGAACGACCTTCGCATGAGGGTTTTCCCAAAACAGGGGCCCTTTAGCGGGGCTCCTATAACAAGGATTACAGTATTTGGGGTATATCAGGGGTACCCCCATTTTGGGAATGACCTTCACATCATTCACATCCTCAAGGCTCCCAAAAAGAAACAGCAGATTGGGGGGTTTATGGGTGTAGGGTTTAGGGTTAAACTCCTAAACTCTGAACCCTAAACCCTAAATCCTAAACCCTACACCCTAAACCGTAAACCCTAAACGGCTCAAGGTTTCAGTTTCGGGTGGACGCGATCCCACACCCCAAAGCTGTAAGGCAGCCTAAGCCCTAGGCATCCCTAGGCATCCCTCAATGGTTTAGGGTTTAGGGTTTAGGATTTAGGATTTAGGGTTTAGGGCTTAGGGTTTAGGGTTTAGGGTTTAGGGCTAGGCGGGGCCATAACAGACCCACGTTTTTCGGTTCGGCAGTTTAGCTCTGTTGCCCTCAGAATCCCTTGTAAATACCGATGTTTCCTGGGTTTCGCCCATCACCTCATCCCCGCAATTTTTATCTAAAATCATCGTGCAATTTTGTTGGCATCCGTAGACTACACTGGTATTTGTGGAGTTTTTTGCACTACTTCGCACTTTCGACGTGTCCTAAACTGAGCCCTGTCTTGCTTGCATCCGCTTCTGCCCAGCCTTGGGTCTAAACAACACGTTTGCTTCACCATAGTTAGAAGAGAGCATCCATGGCCCAACCACGATGACATCCATAGTCTAATCCGTTCTGGGAAGAGAGCATCCATGGCCCAAGCATGATGACGTCCATGGTCTACTCAGTTCTGATGAGAAGAGAGCATCCGTGGCCCAAGCATGATGACGTCCATGGTCTACATGTTTTCTGCACTGCCATGGCCCACCCATGATGACGTCCATGGTCCACTCCGTTCTGGGAAGAGAGCATCCAGGGCCCAAGCACGATGACGTCCATGGTCTATTCTGCTTTGATGAGAAGAGAGCATCCATGGCCCAAGCATGATGACGTCCATGTTCTACATCGTCTAATCCGTTCCGAGAAGGTTAAACCTTCTGGGCAGAAATGGCTGGAAGTTCTTGCTTTTTGGCGCACTGGGGAGCAGAAAGGCGTCAATTCTCAACACTAAAGGCTGTGACCTAAGTCCTGCATCTCAGGTTTGCTGGTGGGGCCAGAGTTTTGCGCGGGTCTGTTGTGGACCCGCCAGGGTTTAGGGTTTAGGGTTTAGGGTTGAACCGTTTCACTCCCCACGACTCCACTTCAAGGTTCATGGCTACTTGTGAGCGAGGTTTTGTTTTAGAAGTTTAGGCTTTAGAAGTTTAGGCTTGGGGTTTGGAAGTTTGGAATCTAGAAGTTTAGGGTTCAGGGTGTATGGCTTAGAAGTTGAGGGTTTAGGGCTTGGGCTTTTTTTAAGTCTGGTGTTTAAGGATGAGGGTGCCCTTGCTGTCCGATTTGGCTCATTGAAAAGGGATCCAAATCGTAAAGAAAGGGGGATCAAGGTGGGCATCCTCGGCAAGGCTATAAATCCCCTAAATGTGTGTATGGTCATCGTACAAACCTAATCGGAACTGATACTCATAACTGCCCTTGAGCCTTCAACTTAGCATCCCTACAGCTGGAACTGCACGCAGCAAATCTGAACCCTAAACCCCAATCTGTAAACCCTGAACCCACGACCTTAAAATCCCCGAGTACGTGCTCATGGGAACTAGGACTCCACACGTCTCCAGTCAAGGACGAAAGAAAGCGCCGTAGTGAGGGAGTGTGATGTTGGGCTTCCCCCTCCCCCCCATGTGAATCCCCTTCGAACGACCCCCACCATTCGCGGAGGGGAGCTGGCAACTGAAATTTGACCCCGCCTTTTAAACCCTATTCCGAATTGGGGGGGGGGGGGGATTCAGGGCAACCAACATCCTGACAGTTTAAGTCATTACTTAACCCCTCCAAAGCCTGAAGCCTAGACCCTAAACCCTTTGGACCCCAAACATGACACTTGGATAAACACCTCCCCTATTTTAAAAACACATTTCGAGTTTCTATTGGGGGGGGGGGGGGCCGTTTAATATTCGGGAAGGGGATGAAGCCCGTTCTGCGAATGAATGGAGACGCGCTAGTAAGAGAGCTTTGGAAGGTTTGCATGCATGTCTAGCCTAGCGTAGTGGACACTTGGGTTGTAGAGGCTATGATGGGCTTAGAATCATCAAAACCCTCGCGAAATATGCTCTTTTTTTCCGGGAGATGCCTGAGGCTGGGGAGGTAAGCCCTTCTCGACGTGTCTCGATCTTTTTCTTTGGGAGAGGCTTGAAGGCTGGGGAGTCCTGACTTATGTTTATGTCGGAACTCTGCCTCTCGAGACGACATCTTCCTGCGGACTCTTCGTGTCCATTTGCGTTCGTCAAGCAAATCTGTTTCGCTGCATAGTACAGCGTCGTCAAACTTCTTGGAGCCGTCCGCTAAACTCACGTGAATGGGATCGCTCCAATCTTGAATCCAGCATTCAGATTGTATCAGGATAAGTACGTTCGCATTAAGCAGACGCCATTCGAGCCTGTGGCAGTGCAGAGGACAGCACGTGTAAACGTTTCCAGGGCGATGCGGCATGTTCGCAGATCGAATCACTCCGATCTGACGGCCAGCTATGCTCTAGACGGAAAAGAACGGCGCGAAGGCCACAACGTCCCAGCATGGCTCCAGGGACAGTACTAGTGTCTCTCTTTTTGCGCAGCCTTGCAAGACATGACTTAGTGCTGCTTTGATTTTTCATGTGGGTGTGTGAGCGACTGCGCGCGTGTGTTTGAGATCATGAATCTGTTGTTCCTCTGAGCCACAGACTCGTTGCCAGGTCTTGTGCTCCTGGCATGGGTGCTGACTTCAAGTACAAGTTATTTGCATGGATAGAGCTCCTTCGGCGGAGGTTCACGAGGTGGTATCGGAAGTCTGACCTCGGTGATGCGCGGCAACGAATTGCCGCCAATGATAGTGTTTGAATCAGCTCCCCGCTGGCTTCACCAAAGCAGTCGCGTACTTTTGCTTTGCCTGAGCAAAAAACAAGCCGGACAATATCCTGAATTTCCGATTGCAGAAGGCGCTAGTACCTTCTGCAAGGCTTCCTTCTGCACCAAGCGCTCCATGGCAGCAGATGCCTGAAAGAAAGTACACTTGCCTTTCCACGATGCTGTTTCTAAAAGTCTTCAGACCAAACTCAAGCAACTGCAGCGCCGCCTCTCGACGGCGAGCAGCAAACAGCGCACTTTGGGGCGGTGCTACCACGCGGGGGGAGGGGGGGAGGGTGGGGGGGGAGAGGGGGCGGGGGGAGAGGGGCCGGGAGGGGCGGGGTTCGGTGAGTGAGCCATCGCGGCTTCGAGTGAAGCTCAGAATCCGGCAATGACGCTCTTGAAATGAATTGCGTGCGCACACGCAGTCACGAACCCGAATGCATTCCAACCCAGCCGCCAGCCGCCCTTTGTTGTATGTTTTCAGGTTCTTTGGCGCTGTGGTCGAACCTTCTATGCGCTTTTTCATGTTTAAGGCCTCATAATGCCCAACACCGAAGTGGGAGGCTCACTCAGGACTCCAGGAAAATCTCCCTTCCGCAGAGCATCGCCGACCTGTTGTGAACAGAGCGACCGCACAACAGTTTCGGCCACAGTCGCCATCAGACTGTGCCTGCAGAGCGAAATGAACCACAGGATGACGCTGGTGGTCTCGGATCTTTGAGAAGAAGCTCTGCAGTTCCTGGCCAGTTCAGATTTTCTCGTGACGCCTGAATACCGATGAGTTCTCAGAATGCTACACTGCAATCTCGCCAGCAACTCTGCGGGCATAAAGGATTGAAAGAACAGGAGGATGAATCTGACAGGCCAAGAAGACTCCCTGATTCCTGACAACAGCGGCAGAATGAACGAGAGCCTGTATGAAGCGGGCTCGTATGGCGAAGAGTGATGTGCCTGGCCGGGGTGTTTCTTCTTCACACTCAAGACTCAAGAAATTTTGGCCTCTTGATATGCTGCCAGCAGCCGCCAAGAAATGTCAGCAATGGCCTCAGGCACTACAAAGCAGAACCAGAACAGCGAAGCCTCTTTCCCTCCGTTAACCCCGCAGAAACTTCTCTCAGCCAGGCACAGCATTGCTACATCTATTACATATATGCATTCGGCATGAATATCGTCAGGTATATATGTGTATATATTATATATTCATATATATATATATATATCTATATCTATATCTAATTACTTGCTACAGGTTGGATAAGAAGTATAAACTTCTATATACTATGTTGAGAGAGAAACCTTCGTAAGACTATGTACAGTTGCTCACCGTTTCAGTTGTTTTTTTACATTACTCTGGCATACAGTTTTGGCAGCAAATCCCGAGGGAAACGCTTGATTTTAATCAACATATCGAGCATCCATCTAGCCAAACACACCGGCGACTCGCAGCTGCTCGAATGCATCCCATAAGTCATACTTTGCAGGTAAACGATACCTCTTCGAACGCAGAGATCAGCCGCCTGCTTGCCTGCTTGCCTGCTTGCCTGCTTGCCTGCATGCGTCTGGCGAACTGAATGCTGCGACGAAAACCGGTTTTTGATATAGACAGTGTACAAAACCAGCTAGCGGAAACATTCTTGTAGCTGCCTTAAAAGGACTTGAAGCCACAAAACTAACTTTATTGACACTGCCCGATGAACGCTCTCAAGAGCTCCTGTGTCTGGTAAACCTCCTGCACTGCCTCTCAAATCACGGCGACACATCGCCCCGATTAGTTTCGTTCAGGTCAAACACTTGAATAGTTCGTATTGCTACGTCTGTTGCTATATATGCGTTCAGAATGAATGTAGTCATGTATATATAGAAGTATATATATATATCTTATATGTATATGTTACACAGTGAAAGAGGGACGTGTGTAATAAAGTAGTTTCTTTTCCGCCATAGATTTACTTATTTTTACCTGGTCACTCATCCTACATCTTCAGCCAAACTTGTAAGTCTAGGGTCTTGGAGGAATGAGTTTGTTTCAATAACTAAATTCTGAAGGCCCCAAAATAATTTGAATAGTTTAATTATTTAAATCCATTGGTTGCTCTGGGAACCCAACCATTTAAATAATTTAATAACTTAAATAATTTAATTATTGAAATACTTGGATTTAAATTTTAATTCTGGGGCCTCCCAAAAAAGCAGATCGTATAACTCAACAAGCACTTACCTCATTTTGTTTACATATTGACTACAACTGAGTCAACCACTCCCGTGCGGAAATACACGCAGATTGTAAAAACAGATTGCATTAAATATATTATTTTTGCATTTCATGAAAATATCTTAGTAACAAAAAACGTATGTTAATGGAACTATTGATAATCTCAATCGGTTGCGGCGAATCAAGATTCGAAAAAGATAATTCATTACATAAGAATGAAGTGTCTAAATGACACTGTGGGAAAAATGCGGAGCTGATATGTTTTCCTTTCTACGCACCAAGGACTCGCGCTGCTGAAAAAAAAGAAAAAACCATAAACAAAATCTACCTGTATCTACCCGGCGCTGCTTCTGAAGTTTCGGGGGCTCAGTTTTCAAAACCTGAAGAAGGGCACTGCTTGCGATTCATTATCTAGCCACAGCAGATGAAAGACACCTTCCAGGCATTGCAGAAAAGAATCACTGTTGATACAATTATAATCAAACAAATGAGATCCTGAAGCGCAAAGCTCATGTCCCTAGGAAGACATCTGAATACAAAACCAGAAAACATATTGCAGGCGCAACATGAAAACACAAAGCTCTGCTGTTTTGAGCAAGCGATTACGCTGCTTCAAGACTGTGTTGTTTTTTCGGCGCTGGGGCTGTTGTGTATGGAAGAAACAAAGAGAACAGGAAAAGTGTATCCTTGTCTTTGTAGTATAAATACAACATGAGAAGTTAAGTTCCTAATCACGCGAAATCCAGCACCCAGCGCCTATTATGCTGGTTCCGGACCCACTTCCACCGGGCGATGAAGCCCGGTGGAGCCGGGGGTGACACATAGTAAGAACCGAAGGGCAGTACTCTTCGGTGCCAGCCGTGAGCAAGACCACCTTAGGAGACAAGGAAAAAATATAACAAGGTAAGGAATTTGGAGCCTCGTTTTGGCTGCGAACTCCGCATCCCACTCCACTCAAACTCCTGAGCACAACATTGCTGATGATTGGCCGCGACTGGGCAAACTACGCCGGAAAAGCTGCAGCGCTTCGCGGGCGTCTTCTGCAAGCAGGCGAGGGAAGAGTGAGCGAAGGACCTTCTGCGACTGCATCGGTATCGGGTACAGCTCGCTTGCCTGTTCCAGGTCTGCCTCCCGCAAGCTCATAATGGCCACCCCCTCCCCCCCCTGGAACAAAAACATAATAAAATAATAATAATAAGAATAACAATAATGCTACGAATACTAATGAAAAATTATCCTTCGAAAAAACAATAATGAAGAAGACTTCGCTCACGCATGGCCAGATTGCCGGAGCTCAATCTTGAGCCAATGTTTAGGGTTTAGGGTTGGGCTTAGGGTTTAGGGTTAGGGTTTAGGGTCTAGGGTTCAAGGTCTATGCTTTTAGGGTTTAGGGTTTTGTTGTCATTTTTGCAGGGCCTCATGGGCTTCGTGTTTAGGGTTCAGTCCTGAAAGAGCCTTGTATGCGGAAGTGTGCAGCGCCATGAAATGGGCACGGAGGCCTCAAGAGTCCAGAGCCCATGATGGGTTTCATCATTCTTCATACGGCTTATAGGGCCCTAAAACCCTAAACCCTAAACCCTGAACCCTGAACCCTGAACCCTAAACCCTAAACCCTAAACCCTAAACCCTAAACCCTAAAGTTTAATTTAGAATTCTGCCGTGGTGCGGGTACTCCTTCACCAGCGTGGTCAGGTCGAAGAGTCCACAGGCATGGAGAAGCCCGGCCCCCAGAAGGGAGGCATAGAAGGTGAGGTAACCTGGGTTTAGGGTTTAAGGTTTAGGGTTTAGGGTTTAGGGTTTAGGGTTGAGGGTTGAGGGTTTAGGGTTTAGGGTGACCCAAGAGTAACCTAGAAAGGTGAAGGGTCCCCTTTTTGGTGTACAGGGGTTGGGAAGGGAACTCAAACCCTAAAAAAGGGGCCTGGAAGCTCTATATGGTTGCTACTACCCTGAACCCTAAGCCCTATATCGCAACCTACTATAATTAGGACAGAAGCGCGCTAGCAGGGAGGGTGAGGCAACGTGGAGGAAGCTCTTTGTGGTGCTACTATAACTTTGCCAGTATCCGTTTTACTAAGACTGACTGGTTATATTTATGACAGGCCCGCGCAAGCCGGGTATTGGGTTCCTGGCACAGAGTTTAAGGGTTCAAGGGTCTAAGGGTTTAAGGGTTTAAGGGGCTTAGGGTTTAGAGATTGTTTCGTAGGTTTGCGGGTTTGAGTCTTAGGTTCCTAAACTCTCAACCCTGTATGAACCCTCAACCATATTTATAAGAACTACTGGCTTACCCCTACTCCCTCAAGATATGGTCGCCATGACCATTATCTCCATCGTCAGAGTCCCCATCTCGATTTGCTATCGATTCCAAGACCACGCCAGCCATTTCAAGCAGCACGTGCAGTCCGATCATGGACATGCTTTCAGACGTGATCCCAGGCTCCTCAGTTCCTGTTCACATCTTGGCAAAAATCCTTCGCCACGCTTTTGGCAATGGCCTTTGGCACCTCATGCTGCTCAAAAGAGGCATCAAGGTACTCCTGCATTCCCTTCGGTGGGGAGGCAGCTGCCAGACCCCTAAGCCCTAAACCCTAGACCCTAAACCCTAAACCCAGGTTACCTCCCATGATGGGGAGGATGGCACGCCCTCGGGCCCAAGTAGCAGACTCGCGAATGTGCATCGGAAGGTTGCAGGTGCGGTTGCAGCAAACCCGGTGGCGAGAAGGGATGTTGCGCTTGCTTTGGGATAAGCAGACTGTCCATCCCCTAATCCTAAACCCTAAACCGAAAGCCTAAGCCCCCTAGGGTTGAGATGTTCGGGCTTAGGCAGGGTTTAGGGTTTAGGGTTTAGGGTTTAGGGTTTAGGGTTTAGGGTTTAGGGTTTAGGGTTTAGGGTTTAGGGTTTAGGGTTTAGGGTGTAGGGGTTAGGGGTTTAGGGTTTGGGGTTTGGGGTTTAGGGTTTTCAGGGGGGGTCCAGGACTTGGACTTGCAGGGCGCAGGCACCGTTGCACGGATAATCCAGGCCGTTCGTCTGCACAAGGACCTTAGGGTTGTAGGCGTGGGGTTTAGCCCTAAACCTTCATCCCAAACCCTAAACCCTAAACCCTAAACCCTAAAGCCTAAACCCTAAACCCCAAACAGTGCTTGGGATCCAGGGCTTTCGGTCGGGCTTTGGGCCCGAGCAAATCTGCTTCCCAAGGGTGGCTTGCGCCGTTGCTGGAAAATAGCGGGCCTGAACTATGGGGTTTAGGGTATTTAGGGTTTAGGGGTTTGGGGTTTAGGGTTTAGGGCTTCGGGATCATGGGGGGCGGGGTGCGGGGAGGGGTGGGGGGTGGGGGGGTGGGGATAGGCATCAGTCCCCCGAAGCCTAATAAACTACGTTTAATTACCCGAAACCCTGAACCCTGAGCCCTCAAGCAAGGCCATCTCCTTCGGAGGTTCCGTTGATGGGGGGCAGCCAGAATCATAAGAGAGACCCAACCTAGAAAGGAGGCGCACATCACAGCCTGCGTTCTGGGATGCTCTAAACCCATCTAAACCTATAACCCAGAAATCCCAAACCCTAAACTCCCTGGGGTGCAGGGATGAGGGTTTAGGGTTTAGGGGGTTACAATCCTAAATCCTAAACCCTAAATCCTAAACCCTAAATCGTAAACCCTAAACCTAACCACCTCCCCCAGAAGAACAACAGTTGCTGCCACACTGAGCCTCGCACGCCTGGCATAAAGCGTGCTGACAGGACTTGTAGACCATGGTAGCCTAGATCGAGCAGTTTGACTTACAGGGTCCATGTTTCGGGTTTAGGGTTTAGGGTTTAGGGTTTAGGATTCAAGGGCGTATGTAACCCAAGGTTCCCAACTATGCCGACTGTCCGGAATTTTAGGGCTTAGGGTATCTCATCTCCTGTCCCAGCGGATGCATGTTGAGACCCTAACCCCCTAAACCCTACACCCTAAACCCTCGAAGCTGTTTGGATGAAAGGGCTCTGAAGACCTTCGGCTTGGGTTACCAACCCTAAGCCTTGAAACTCAAAAACTCAGAGCCCTGAACCCTAGAACCCTAAAGCCTAAAACCCTAAACCTCAAAGCCCCAAAGCACAGTCCTGTAGAAACTGTCCATGAACCCCAACCTCTACACCGCCAAAGCAGAACTTGACGAGTCGGGTCTTGAACCAAAAGCACCCACCCCCGGTTTAGGCGCTTAGGGGCTTAGGCCTGCGGACTCTGCGAGGATTTTTAGATGCCTTTGGGGCTTCGGGTTCGGGAACCCCTCGTCCGAAACAGAAGACCGGCTAGAAGAACCGAAGGCCTTCGGGCTCTAAACCCTAAACCCTAAACCCTAAACCCTAAACCCTAAACCCGAAACCCTAGAAGCCCCAAGCCCTAAGCCCTGAACCCTAAACCCTCTGAGCTCGGGACTAAGGAACCAGAGGATGGACTTCACTGTAGGAATCTCGGTGTGGCAGGCAAGATGGCTTTTTAGGGTTTAGGGTTTAGGGTTTAGGGCTTCCCCCTTTCCCAAAGAACCGAGAAGGAGGGCTGAGGGCTTAGGGCTTAGGGTAGCTTTAGGGTCCCAAAAGTGTACGATATGAGCACATGGACTCATAGGGGTATGGGGTTTAGGGTTTAGGGTTTAGGGTTTAGGGTCTAGGGTCTAGGGCCTAGGGTTTAGGGTTTAGGAGGTCAAGGCGCGCGAGGTCAGCTCGGTTATTTCGGGGTAGGGTTCGTGAGGATTGCGGCCGGGGGTTCCTAAACCTATAGACATCCCTAACGAAAGCCCTAAACCCTGAACCAGCAGCCACCTAATTAACCTCTAAACCCTAAGTCGTCTGCGGATCAAACTGGAGTTCTCTCCCGCGTTCACCTGGTCGTTGAACGTACATTCCCTAAACCCTGGGCCCTAACCCAAAACCCTAAATCCTAAACACACATCTAGGGAACAGCTCGCAAGCTGCTAAACCCTCTTGGGGGTTTAAGACTTGAAAGCCCTGTATCTACAACAGGCCTAGAGGCCCTGAAAGACGTGCAAACCGGAGAAGACCCACCCCGTCCCCCCCCCCCCTTCCCACCCCCAGAAAGAGCTCTATTTACGGACTATAGGGTTTAGGGTTTAGGGTTTAGGGTTTAAAAGGGTCCAGCTGTGAAAGCTGTTAGGATTTGTGTCTTCGGCTGCTGCTGTTGCTGCAGATGCCAGGGCACATACTGCGTCGGCTCAGATCCATACCTTGGGGTATAGGTTTAGGGTTTGTGGTTTGAGATTTTTGTGTATTTTTTCTACCACAGAGATGAAGCTTTTGGGGTTACAGTATAAGGATTAGGGTTCTTAGGGTTTAGGGCTTAGGCCCGTATCAGGAAGACTATCTTTTTCTTTCTTGGGTGGGGTTTCTTAAGCAATTAGTAGTAAACCCTAAATCCGACGAAGCGCCCACTTTCAAGAAGAGCGGCCGTGGGTACCCTCCCTTGCTATCCCACACCCCGCAATTCTACGAAACCCTAAACCCTAAACCCTAAACCCTAAACCCCAAACCCTAAACCCTAAACAGCCGTAGGGATTCACCTTGTGGCCACGAGCCCCGACAGTCTGACTAGATCTCTTCAGCCTTATCAAGGCTTGGAGGCTCATTTGGTACATGCTGACCAGTTGTAACTGTACTTATAACCTTCTTAGGGTTTAGGGTTTAGGGTTTAGGGTTTAGGCTTTAGGGTTTAGGGTTTAGGGTTTAGGGCTACTGTACTTATAACTTGTAAAAGGCCGGTGGTCTCTTTATTTGCTACCCTAAAACCTTAATATGGCCCCTAGATACCTTTTAAGAGCCCCCTACAACAAAGAAACCCTACTTAAAGAGAACCATATCAGGGCTCATAAGGGGCTTATAAGTGGGTTATAAGTACAGTTGTATTCGGTTCATAAGTACCATGAACCTCCAAGTAAGAGCTTGGGACGTGGGGCTGTCGCAAGGTCTGGTTTCGGAAATGAGTGGTACCTTATTGGGGTTCCTCTTTTTACCCTAAACCCTAAACCCTAAACACCCTGAACCCTACCCCTACTGTCTGGGGAGTCTATATTCGGGGTACCTTATTTTCGTAAACCCCTCGACAAGGGTATGGCAGCCAAGAGGCAATGAGGCAGCCATGCAGTACCTTCAATGCGACGGACATGCGTGAAGTGGTTTAGGGTTTGGGGTTTAGGGTTTAGGGTTTTGGGTCGTATTGAATCTCGTGCGGCTGGACTGAATGACCTGTTGTACCCCCAAAACCACAAGGTAACGTGGACATCTTGAACCCCTGGGGGGGACGGGATTCCTCAATCCACCCTAGAAGCCTAAACCCGAAACCCTAAGCACCCTGACATGCACAGCGTCCATCCAACAAAAGCCCGGTGCACCCAACATCTTCCAACACCCAACAGACTGCAGCTTCCCAGAGAGTCGCTTTGCTATTTTATGTGTTTTTTTATTATTTATGATAATTATTTATTTATTATTGTTATTATTATTGTTATATTTTTTTTTTTTTTTTGGGGGGGGGGGGGGGGTGGTGGTGGGGGGGGGTTCTTGGCAACAGACTAGGAACCGCAAACCCTGAACTTTAAACCCTAATATTGCTCAAGAGCAATAGAACCATGGGACATCTAAGCTTAACCCTAAACTTTAAACCCTAATATTGCTCAAGAGCAACCATACCTTGGGACATCTAAGCTTGGACTCCAGTTGGTTTGGAAGTTTCTTTGGGGGACCCCTTCCTCAAGAAGGGACTGAGGGACAAAGGAGGACAGTTAAGGGTTAAGGGATCAGGGTTTAGGGTTCAGGCTCAGGGTTTAGGGTTTAGGGTTTAGAACTACCAAACCACAGGCAGGCGGCATGAGAATGTGCGAGGTCACCATGATGAACAGGTTCCCGGCCTCCAACGTCAGGGTCCGGAGCTTCGAGTTTAGAGGGTTTTTGGGGTTTGTAGGGTTTCGGGTTTGTAGGGTCGGGAATAACCCTAAACCCTAAACCCCAAAACCCCAAAACCCTAAACCCTAAACCCTAAACCCTAAACCCTAAACCCCAAACTGGCGCTCTTGGGGGCCGATGGGCTGGCTCTGAGTCCCCCTGTGAGTTTAGGACTTCAGGCGTTTAAGCGTTCACAGCAGCGTCGCGTCAAGGGCAAGTCTTAAACCTAAAGCCCAAAGACCGCTCATACAAAGGTGCCTAGGGTTTTATTAGGGTTTCCTAAACCCTAAACCCTAAACCCTAAACCCTAAACCCTAAACCCTAAACCCTAAACCCTAAACCCTAAACTGTTTATGTAGGCGTTCGGCCTTCCCCGTTCGAAGCCCCAGCCCTCAACCAAGGAGCCCCAAGACCACCCAAACAAAACACCTCAAAACAACAAGAAAAACACCCCAAACCCCTGCCCCAACAAAGGAAACCAAAATGTGATCTTTACAAATATCTCGGCCGGGTGCAGGGATACCGGTCCATAGTCCCGTGCAAGAGTTGTTCTTTGGACCAGCTGTCCGATGAGTAGATATCCACGCGGACCAGGAGCGTGTCTCCGCCTGCACCAGGGTTTAGCATGCCTCCAGCACCTTGGCGCGCCTGCCCCGGGGTAATCTCCATGGAATTCTCTCTGGAGAAGTGCACCAGGACGGGCTACTATACCCTATAACCCCCTCTAAACAGGCCCTTTATAGGGTTGATTATGGGGATTAGAGGGCCTAACAGCCTATCCTGGTGGAGTGAGGCTTTCCCCACTCTGATGATTTAGGGTTTAGGGTTTAGGGTTTAGGGTTTAGGGTTTAGGGTTTAGGGTTTAGGGTTTAGGGTTGTGGAGCATCCTTTGGCTCTCCGCAGGCGCGGCAAAACCCTGGGCCCTGGACCCGCAAGCCCTCGCTTGGTGCTTGATAACACTCTGACAGCGAACTTCATTAAGATCCATGAGGGTTTAGGAGGGTCCCAATAAAGGCCCACACCTAAACCCTAGAACCCTCGAATCCCGGAACCCTGGACCCCTAAACCCTAAACCCTAAGCCCTAAGTTCTAAACCCTAAACCCTAAACCCAAAACCCAAAACCCAAAACCCAAAACCCAAAACCCAAAACCCTGCACCCTGAACCCTGAACCCTGAACCCTGAACCCTGAACCCTGAACCCTGAACCCTATCTAAGGCCGAGGCGGGGCCACCGAATTCCTGGGGCTCTTCAGGCTCCTGCCGTGCCACGAAGATTTTGGGGTTTAGGGTTTACGATATTAGGGGTACCTTCTTGGGGTCCTTGCTATAGGGTTTAGGGTTTAGGGTTTGGGGTTTAGGGTTTGGGGTTTGGGGTTTAGGGTTTAGGGTTTTAGGGTTTAGGGTTTAGGGTTTAGGGTTTAGGGTTTAGGGTTTAGGGTTTAGGGTTTAGGGTTTAGGTTTTATGGTTTAGGGTTTAGGGTTTAGGGTTTAGGGTTTAGGGTTTAGGGTTTAGGGTTTAGGGTTTAGGGTTTAGGGTTTAGGGTTTAGGGTTTAGGGTTTAGGGTTTAGGGTTTAGGGTTTAGGGTTTCGGGTTTAGGGTTTAGGGTTTAGGGTTTAGGGTTTAGGGTTTAGGGTGGTCCTTACTAGAAGGGGATCCTACTATTTGGGGATTGGGGGTCCCCTATTTTCGTAAACCCCTACTCGGGAGCTGGTGGATGCGACATTTACAGAGGGGTTTAGGGCGGTCAGGGTTTGGGGGGTTTAGGGTTTAGGGTTCAGGGTTTAGGGTTTAGGGTATTTGGGTTTAGGGCGGTTTGGGTAGGGCGTTTAGGGCTTAGGAAAAAGGAGGGTATCCAGTTTCGTGCATTTTGGGTTTTGGGGTTTTGGGGGTTTGGGTCTAGGAGTTTCGGGTTTCGAGCGAGAGGGCCCTTTCCCGATCTGTGTACAAATGCTCCCAGTCTGAGCTCGGGGATCTCGTCAGACAAGTCGCACTTCCTCGTGCGCTGTGATACATGGCTGGTTGTTCTAAACCTGGGCCTCTCTGTTCTAGGCCCTAAACCGTAAACCCCGAGGTGAAAAACATAACTCAAAAGGAACGGGATGGGAAACGGAGGCACGTTCCTTCAAAAACTCCCGGAGAAACCGCGCGAATCTGCTCTGCCTTCTCGATACAACGGCTCCTGAACACTAAGCCTTGAAACTGTATAGTCGAACCCTTGAAAAACCATTTTTCAACCCCATAAACCCTACACCCTATCGAAGCCCCATTCAAAAAGAGGAAAAACTAAAAAGCAGAAAGACACTCCCATAAACACCTTACAAACACCCGATAAGCCCTATAAGCCCACAAGCACAGTGACTTGGTAGCCCAGTACCCATATCATAGTAAGGGCACCCTTTTTGAGGTTGGTTACTTCATAAGGTAGCATTGAACCCAAAAAACGGGAAAAAGGGTACTACTGGGCTGCCACTAGCCCTAAACCCTAAACCCTAAACCCTAAACCATAAACCCTAAACTCTAAACCCTAAACCCTAAACCCTAAACCCTAAAACCCCAACCCTAAACCCTCATGGTACCAAAGAGTCCTTGGCTTCGGTCTTTGGCTTCGGTTTCCTGGAGTGGGTTTAGGGTTTAGGTTTAGGGTTTAGGGTTTAGGGTTTAGGGTTTAGGGTTTAGGGTTTAGAGTTTAGGGTTCTTGCCGCAGGATTCCCCCAAAGCGAGATCCCAAAACAAAAGTTAGGGCCATAAGGTTTAGGGTTTCGGTTTTAGGGTTTAGGGCGCTTAGGAGGGTTTGTGGGGTTTAGAGTCAAAGTTTGGAGTTTCAGGGGCTCAGGGTCAAGGATTGAAAGGTTCAGGGGCTCAGCTGTTGAGAGGATTTGGGGTTCAGGAGTTTGGGGGGGGGGGTTCTGGTTTAAGGGTTTCGGGCCGGAGGCTCCGAGTTTCGGACACCCTAAACCCTAAACCCTAAACCCCAAACCCTAAACCCTAAACCCTAAACCCTAAACCCGAAACCCCTAGGCCCTAAACCCGTGGCGCTTGAGGTCTTCCAGCTGTATTCGTTGGCAGTCGTACCGGCACTGGATCGAAACTCTCGGTGTCGGGTCTAGGAATTTGCTTAAGGAACTTGCCACTGAACTTCGAGAAAGCCCGCGACAGCCGAACATGCAACGCCATGACTGATAGGAGCTCCGTTTCAGGCTAGGAAACCATCACCCGACAAGCCCGACGATCTTTGCAAACCCAGGCGCTCATCGGAAACCTTCTTCTCCTCACAGTGGTGGCGACACTTGCGTTGCTGAAGGGCATCATCTGCTTACTTCGGGGGAAGGGTGTGGTGAGTACGCGCAATCGGGTCAATTGTTGAAAAAGAAGCTTAACTACTGTTTGCTTAAGAACCCCAAAAAACACACAAAACAAATAAGCGACAAACATGTGTATATATGGTCCAGTGCTCCCCGGCCCCCCCCTCCCCCCCCCACCCATGGTCTGGAACCCCCCCCCCCCCCTGTGGTGTGGTTGGGGGTTGGTTTTAGGGTTAGGGTTTAGGGTTTAGGGTTTTAGGGTTTAGGGTTTAGGGTTTAGGGTTAGGGTTTGGGTTTAGGGTTTAGGTTTGGGTTTAGGGTTTAGGGCCCCCCCCCCCCCCCCCCCCCTGTGGTGTGGTTGGGGGTTGGTTTTAGGGTTTAGGGTTTAGGGTTGGTTTAGGGCTTAGGGTTTGACAGGGTTTAGGGTTAGAGACGGTAGACCTGGAGGGGGGAAGGGGGGGGGGGGGTAAACGCCTCACACACATGGGTTTCCCCGAAAACGCGCTCCGTCAACCGAACACAACACTCAAAACACGGGTTTTGGCGAGGGTCGCCCCCCCCCCCCCCCTACCTGACCATACCATGGGGGGGGGGGGGGGGCCGGACACGCCAGACGCCGGACCATATATACAATTATATATATATATATATATATATATATTACCCTTAATAAGGAAGACTGTTTTTTTCGGGGTTCTTACTCAATTAGCAGATAAGTAGATAAGAAAAGCGTCTCGGCTCCCAGCTTCCGGCTGGCCTGGGAGTTTTTTCAAAGCAGCGTCAGACCCTAAACCCTAAACCAACCCTAAACCCTAAACCCTAATCACGAGTATGGCCCAGCATCAACGTATCCTCAGCCCGAAGCATCCTCAGCTTCCTACCTGTTTAGGGTTTAGGGTTTAGGTTTAGGGTTTAGGGTTTAGGGTTTAGGGTTTAGGGTTTAGGGTTTAGGGTTTAGGGTTTAGGGACCCTAAACATCGCGACGCATCCATAAACAGCCCCCAAATCCCAAACATCCCCAAGCCCCTAAGCCCTAAACTGAATCAGTCCTAAGCCCCGAAGCCTGAACCTAAGCCCTCAGCTTGAAACCCGAAGCCCTAAACCCTAAACCCTAAACCCCAAACCCCAAACCCCAAACCAGAAACCCCAAACCCTAAACCCTAAACCCTAAACCCTCGGCTCTTCCGAGGCCCTCAGCTTGCTCCTTCGGAGGCGGGGTCGCTGCTCTCGACGAGGCGCCCTTCTTCAGCGGCGAGGCTTTCTCGCTCATCCTGCCCACATAGGTTTAGGGTTTAGGGTTTAGGGTTTAGGGTTTAGGGTTTAGGGTTTAGGGTTTAGGGTTTAGGGTTTAGGGTTTAGGGTTTAGGGTTTAGGGTAAGTTTAGGGTTTAGGGTTTAGGGTTTAGGGCTTAGGGTTTAGGGTTTAGAGTAACCCAAATCCTTTTCAAGAAGTGCATGCATTTTGACGGAGCCCAGGCCCGAGTAGAGGGAAGAAGAACCCTCTCCTGGTCCATTTGGCATACGCTTCAGGGCTTAAATAGGGTTTAGTAGGGTTCGGTCGAACCAAACAACCCAATTGTCTCATGCCTTTAAACCCTAATCCCTTCCCACTATTGCTAAACTTGAAGTGTGCTTTTAGCATTCGGGGGATGTTTTTATCCATATGCCATCTTTTGGGATGGGGTTTAGATTGGCTTGAGGGTTTTTGCGGCTCTCAACCCCCCCCCACCCCCCTAATTCGGAATGGGGTTCAACAGGCGGGGTCAGTTTCGACAGGATTTTCCCGAAAGGGGTTTTACAATCAGGGGGGGGGGGGTTAATACAAGGGGAGAAGGGATTAACCCCTAAACCCTAAACCCTAAACCCTAAATCCTAAACCCTGAACCCGACACCCGAAGCAAAGAGCCGCAAAAGCAGACCAATGGGGCGTTCAGGGCCTTAAAGACTTGCTGTGTTTCGGGTTTCGGTGCGTATGGTGAGCGAGGCTGGGGTTTAGGGTTTAGTGCCAGTTTAGGGTTTAGGGTTTAGGGTTTAGGGTTTAGGGTTTAGGGTTTAGGTTTTAGGGCTTAGGGTTTGTGGGTATCTAGGGGCTCAGGACCTCTCATGAAGGGCGACCCAGACTCTGATCCCAAAAACTGCGACAGGAAATCTTGGGTTTAGCAGCTTGGCACAGTTGCTGCGATGATAAAGGGTCTAGGTTTAGGGTTTAGAAGCACATGTTCTGCTGAAGAGGCCTTCGTTGCACAGTGCAGGGGTCTAACTCTGAACCCTACAAAGGCCCGAAACCCAAAAACTCGGGGTTTCGGGCGGTTTCTGAGTTTTTGGCACCTAAACCCTAAACGCTAAACCCTAAACCCTAAATCCTAAACATCCCTAAACCCTAAACCCTAACACCCTTCCCTGCCTTTGCCAACCAATCTGGCGGCCGCTACGCAGGTGAGCCAATACCGCTGCGGATGCTTCAGGTGGCCCGCTTTCAAAAGGGATTCCCTACACCCTCAACACCCTGAACACCCTGAACACCTTAAACACCCTAAACACCCTAAACACCCTAAACACCCTAAACACCCTCAACACCCTAAACCCCTAAACCCTAAACCCTAAACCCCTAAACCCTAAACCCTAAACCCTAAACCCCTAAACCCTAAACCCTGAACGACTGACTGAGCCCCATCGGGGACCAAGATACGACCCTGAAGGGCACGAGAGCGCGACCAGCACTGTGGAAGCCCTTGGAACCTATGAGTTTGGTCACCAACTCAAGGGTTCCCCCTAAGAAGGTTAGGGTTTAGGGTTTAGGGTGTAGGGTTTAGGGTTTGGGGTTTAGGGTTTGGGGTTTGGGGTTTAGGGTTTAGGGTTTCGGTTTTCGGGTTTTGGGTTTTAGGGTTTTAGGGTTTTTGGGTTCAGGGTTTAGGGTCGGAAGGCGTGGTTGCCAACACCCCAAAACAAGCCTCTCCCCGAAGTGAGGGTTTAGGTTTTAGGGTTTAGGGTTTGGAGTTTAAGCTTCACACCCCTGAAGGGTTCCCCTGGTGATTCCCTGCAACATGGTGCCTAAACCATACCCTGGTCCAGGGGTTATGGTTTAGGGTTTAGGGTTTAGGGTTTAAGGGTACAAGCTCAGGGGTCCAAGAGAGATTCTCCTGATCTACCTGCTTGAAGGTTCATTGGGGTGATCATTGGGGTTTAGGGTAGAGGGTTGCAAGTAAGGTAACCCAAGAAAAGCCCTAGTCACTTCTCTAAAGTATGCCCCTTTTGGGGTTACGATTGTAAGGCGGCCCAGTTTGTAGGGTACCCAAAAAAGGACCATCATTTTGAGAACTAACCCTAAACCTTAAACCCAGACACTTAAAACCCTGCGTTTATCTACCAGTGAACCCTTCCAATTCAAGTCAGTAGAACCAACCAGAAGTTCCTCAACCCCCATACTATTTCCGGGACTCGCACGAGACCGGAACCCTAAACCCTAAACCCTAAACCCTAAACCCTGAACCCTGAACCCTGAACAAGAACCCTAAACCCTAAACCCTAATTTTAAACCCACCCTAGCACCCGGGGCCTCAAGAGGTCGTCCACGCGAGGATCGACCAGGTCAACGTGGGGAGTCCTGATAATTTTACGAGGGGGCTCGGGTTTGGGGTGGGGTTTGCAGGTTTTGGGTTTGGGGGTTTAGGCTTCGGGTTTATGGTTGTAGGGGGTTGGGGGTCAGTGGGCTTAGGGTCTGCGCTTTAAGGGGGTGTCTATAGGGGTTTGGGGTTTACAGGTTCGGGTCTCGGGTTTCGGGTTTTAGGGCGTGCAGTTTAAGGTTTTAGGGGTTTGAGGTATGTAGGGCGGGCTCAGGGTGTGGGGTGCAGGGTCTTGAGTTTTTGGGGTCGGGCTCGGGATTTAGGCTTTCAATATTGAAGCTTACAGGTCTAGGATTGGTCGGGAGCTTACATGAAACCTGAGCCCGGAACCTGAACCCGACACCCGAAACCCCCTAAAACCCTAAAATCCTCAAACCCTCAAACCCGAACACCCTAAAACCCTGAAACCCTAAAACCCTCAAACCCTAAAACCCTCAAACCCTCAAACCCTAAAACCCTAAGTTCTAACAGCAGGTCCCAGTCCACGGACTCCCCCGGCAGCAAACTGCAGGCTATGTTATTCTAGACCCGGGAGTAACCTTGGAATAAAAAGGGCGCCCTTTTTGGTTTGAACCCTAAACCCCAAAACCGTCTTGCTTCGACCTCCTGTCTTTGGCTCCCTGCTACTACGTGCTTAAGAAGCCGCCCCCCCCCCCCCCCCCCCCCCCCCCCCAAAAAAAAAAACCAGAATAGTACTCCCTGCCTGGTCAGTTCTCAAGAAGCAGGGTCCCTTTTTTGGGAACCCTAACTATTAGGGGCCGCCTTTTTTATGGTACAAGTACCTTCAAAAGGGACCATCATTTAGAGAATCCCTTTTTGAGGTTTAGGGTTTGGGGCTTTAGGGTTCCGACTGAAGCCTTTGGGGTTTAAGGTTTGGGGTCTACGGTCATGTCTTGCTTGCGTTCCCATGTGCACGCGCTTGAGGAGCGGACGACAATGCCTCTCGTAGCCAAAATCAGCTTTCAGGTTTTCGGGTTTATGGTCTTAAGGGCTTCCTGGAGGTTTAAGGTTTAGTTTCAGGTTTAGGGTTAGGGTTTAGGGTTTATGGTCTTAAGGGTTTCTTGGAGGGGAGGGGCGGGGGAGACTGAGGCAACTAGGGCCGCCACCGCTTGGCACCAGCCGGTGCAACGGGCGGCTCCTCGCGCAATTATTATATCCCCCCTACACCTCATGAGCCCCCTAAACCCTCAACCCTAAACCCTAAACACTTAAACCCCTAAATCCCTAAACCCCTAAACCCCTAAACCGCTAAACCCCTAAACCCTAAACCCCTAAACCCCTAAACCCCTAAACCCCTAAACCCCTAAACCCCTAAACCCCTAAACCCCTAAGCCCTGAACCCCAAGAGCCCCAGAACCCTGAACCCCTAAACCCTAAACCCCTAAGCCCTAAACCCCAAGGGCCCCAGGAACCCTGAACCCCAAACCCGAAGAAAGTTATTGGGGTTTGGTGGGCGTGGCTGTAAGCTTTTTTGGGAGGTTTAGGAGCTCCCGGGTTTTGGGGGAGGATGGTTCCCTAAACCCTAAACCCTAAACCCTAAACCCTAATACAGGGCCTTAGGGTTTAGGATTTCGGGCGCTCGGTGGGTGGTTTTGAGGGGCTTTTTTGTTGTTGAGGCCTTAAGGCCCTAAGACCCACAAAGCCCGGAGGCTTTGAGGCATAGGGTTTAGGGTCTGGGGTTTGCAAGACCTGTTGGTTGCCCCAACCCCTAAGAATCAACATCTTCCACAAGCCCTATGAAGCCTACAAACCCCACAAGCCCTATAACAGTGGGGTTTGGGTGTAAGCACTACAAACCTAGGCCTATACCTAGGTTGCCCAGGAAGCTAGGCTGAAAAAAAAGTGCCCTTGTTGTGCCTAAAAAAGGGTTTATAGGGGAATCTACACGGCAAAAAGGGAATAAGGGTACTACTGGGCATCCTAGATAAACGCCCTAAACCCCAAACCCTAAACCCTAAACCGTAAACCCTAAACCCTTAACCCTTAAACCCTGAACCCTAATCCCTAAACCCTCTCGTGAGCCCCATAGACCCCCAAAAAAACCTAAGCAGAGGATACGGCCCGGACCGGGCCCGTCACTAACTTTCAACGCCCCTTTTGGCCCCTAGGCTTTCAAAGGTACGCTTGAGGGTGTGAGGTTTAGGGGTTTAGGGGTTTAGGGTTTTAGGGGGTTTAGGGGTTTAGGGGTTTAGGGGTTTAGGGGTTTAGGGGTTAGGGTTTAGGGCTGAGGGTTCTAGGGTTTACTGCAGGGGCGCTCTCCGCCCCCATGAGCTTAGGCCTTGTTTAGGCTTTAGGGGGGTTTGTGGAGGGCGCTCCTCCACGGTTTTGCCCATCTTCATCATCACCTGGGCTCATGCCCTTCGGTTGCTTTTTGCTCAAGTTTGGGGGGGGGGGGTTTAGGCTAAGGACTTGAAAGACAGAAGCTTGGGATGTTCCCCCTTGTACCTAACACTCCGTAATAGGGACTATAGAGTCCCTCCTGAGGACTGTTATAAGGGGAAACCCTAAACCCTAAACCCTAAACCCTAAACCCTAAACCCTGAACATCCCAAACAGCAGCTTTCAAAGATCAGGCAGATAGGACTTTCTACATGCCGCTGGCAAGGATGCCCCGCACACTGCATGCGGGGTAGTAGGCATTGGCACAACCCTAAACCCTAAACCCTAAACCCTAAACCCTAAACCCCACTTCTGAGCCTAAAGAGGCGGGGCCCGAAGCCTAAGAAGCTCTTCAAATCGGATCGGAAGTGGGGAACGCGCTAGGGCTTAAGATTCAGCATTCCGGGGTGCAGATCTCCAGGGCTTTTAGGAGTTTCTTAAGTCTTGTGTCGGGGAGTTTAGGCGCCTCGTAGGGTGCAAGGCCTACGCGCCTTGCGGGCTAGGAGCAAGATGGAACCCAGTGGATTTCAGGATGTAAGGTTCAAGGTTCCCCCTACCCAGGCTTAAACAAGCCCCACATAGCCCTCAATCAAGCCTTAATTGCACCCATTTTTTTGGGGGGGGGGGGGGGGGGGGGGGGGGTAATTGGGCTGGGGAGGGGGCAGCATAAGACCCTGTGGTACTTACTCAAACTGCTCCGAGAACACCCGTTCAACTGCTTCATGGTCGGAACGACTAAAGCGAAAACATGGTTCCAAATGCGGGGGGGACGGGGGGAAGCCTCCACCACAAATGGATCACTCAGAAAAGCGTTGTGTTGTTGGGGCCTTCTCAGAATCCCTGAAAATGGCCCGAAACCCTAAACTAACCCTAAACCCCATGATTCCACTGGGGACACAACAGAGTGGTAGAGAAGAGTAGTAGGGGCCTGAGTTTAGGGTCCAGGGTCCAGGGTCTAGGGTCTAGGGTTTAGGGTTTAGGGTTTAGGGTTTAGGGTTTAGGGTTTAGGGTCCCCAAAAACCGTAGACCTTGTACCAAGGGAACTAACAGAGGAAGAGCAGCCTGGCGCTTGATCTCCGTCATGCCCTGCCAGAGGACACAACTTGACCCCAATCTACCTGGGGGTTCATGGTCTTACCTCTGGAGTAGACCCAGGACAAAATATACCTTTTAGGGATAAGTAGCTGTAATGGGAACCCTAAACCCAAAAAAAGTATTAAAGTATTACTCCAAAGCCCAGTGGTACTTATTAACCCTCTTTTTTTAAGTACTTGTAACTCACTCATATACTTAGTAACCAACTATAACTCTATATGTAAGCCCCTTAAGTGCCCTAATGTGGTTATAAGTGCAGTTCTAAGTACCGGTATCATGGGTTACTGAGTAACATGAACCTCAAAGTAGGGGTTCTACCTTGGACCCTTTAAGGTTGTACCCTTGGGCTTAAGGATTCCTAAGGGAATATACGGGCCATATTGAGAATATATTATGGGGAACCTTTAGGGGTACAGACAATAGCAACACCGCTCCCATCAAGGAACTATACCCGACAAGTTCCGGATTCATTGTTTAGGGTCTGGGGCTTCTGTGATTCTCAAACCCTGAACCCCAAAAAAGCACAGACCAGGTGTACCCCTACACCCTAAGCCTTGTACCTGACGTCCTACTGCGAACCCCCCTCCCCCCTAAGCCCTAAACCCTAAACCCTCAACCCGAAACCCTCAACCCCCAACCCTAAACCCTGAACCCTGAACCCTAAACCCTAAACCCTAACTGCGGATGGCCTGGCCGTAGGTGATGCCCTTGACGCAAAACTTCCGGAAGTCCATAACGTTGCACGTCAGGGTGCCCGTCTTGTCCTCGGTCCAAGCTTGCTGTTGGTTTAGGGCTTATAGGGTTTAGGGTTTAGGGTTTAGGGTTTAGGGTTTAGGGTTTAGGGTTTAGGGTTTAGGGTTTAGGGTTTAGGGTTTAGGGTTTAGGGGTTAGGGGTTAGGGGCTAGGGGTTAGGGGTTAGGGGTTGGGGAGGGGTTAGGGGTTAGGGGTTAGGGGTTAGGGGTTAGGGGTTAGGGGTTAGGGTTAGGGGTTAGGGGGGGTTAGGGGTTAGGGGTTAGGGGTTAGGGGTTAGGGGTTAGGGGTTAGGGGTTAGGGGTTAGGGGTTAGGGGTTAGGGGTTAGGGGTTAGGGGTTAGGGGTTAGGGGTTAGGGGTTAGGGGTTAGGGGTTAGGGGTTAGGGGTTACGGGTTAGGGGTTAGGGGTTAGGGGTTAGGGGTTAGGGGTTAGGGGTTAGGGGTTAGGGGTTAGGGGTTAGGGGTTAGGGGTTAGGGGTTAGGGGTTAGGGGTTAGTAGGGAAGTATGGAGTGAGGGAATGAGGATTCCCTTAAAGGGTATATATATATATATATAGGGCCCTAATTCCCTCATTTTTCTGCTAATCAACAATAAGCAAACAGGATCAGCCCGAGACATCCGGCCTTGAAAGCTCCGCGCAGATTGGGGCCTGGGGGCTTAGGGCCCTAAACCCAAAACCCTAAACCCAAAACCCCTATAAATCCCAACAGTGGTAGGAGCCGGTCATGAATGATAAGTGAATCAGAACTTTACAGGTGCCAAACTCTCCCCCCCCCCTGTCAAGTCTGAGCTGCAGAGAAGACGTACTCCACCTGGCCCAACTCCTCGTTGAGGTCCGACGTGCGAGGCATGCAGCGGATGCCCTGCGCCGCGTGCGATTCGCATCGAGGATTTCGGCGCAGCAGGGGCAGGGAGCAATACTGTAGAACTGGTAGGTTTTTATGCCTCGGGAGTCAAGAAGTGCAGGTTCACAAGGCTGGGTGGCTGCAAGTAGTCTACCTCGCAGCAGTTTGTCCAGAAGGACTTTCAAGCGGGGCCACTGCAGTCGTCGACAGGGAAGCACTTCCCTAATTCGGAGGGCCGTCGCAAAGCTGAAATAATAGCATTTCTGGTCTAGAGGCGTCGATCCTCTCACCCCCGAATTTGCTAAACCCTACCTGGGACACTGTTTACCTACAGCTTTATGGGATATTGAGGGGTAGTTACTACTAAACTGTAGGTAAATAGAGTCCCAGGTAAACCCGAAATCCTCTGCCCCAAAACCCTAAACCCTAGACCCCAAACCCTAAACCCTCATCCTCAACAAATCACCCAAACCAAGCCAAAAGCGCCTGGTGGAGCATGTCTTCGTCGGCGTAGAAGAAGAAGACTTGCGCCAACTTTGCTAAGCTCATGGACACCTTCAGGCGCTCGGAACTGCGGTTTAGGGTTTAGGGTTTAGGGTTTCGGGTTTAAGGGGAGGCCGTTTTTGGGTTTATAGCTTAGTTTTCTGTTTGCTTCTGTTTGTTTTGTAGGTCTGTTTGGGTAAGTCTACGTCAAAAACTACGTAAAAAAGCCAATAGCCTTCAAGGAAGTAAGAAAGTATAAATCACAATGTGCATGCTACTGCACATCATTCGAATGCACGTTGCCTTACTCATGACTCTTTCAAATCACCCACGAACCTTCGAGCAACACAAGTCGAGGATTCCTAAGTTTCCCTCTTACCCCCCTCGAAACTACCCCCCGGAGTAGAAGCCCTAAACCCTAAACCCTAAACTCAAGGCCGCCCCCCTACGTTGGGGGCGGCGCCTAAGCCCCTCGACCTCGACGGAGCCGCGCCCAGCTCCCACAGCTCGGAGGTAGCACCCAGGATGGCTTTCTGGCTCGGCCCTCCCCTGACCCCCCCTTGCCTGGCCCCCCCTGCCCCCCTCTGACCCCCCCCCTCTGGCCCCCCCCCTGACGCAGCTGAAACCCGTGCTACAACCGAGCCGGGACCTGGCCTCAAACCTTTCCCTTGGCTGAAAGTGGCCATCGGTGACAGAAAGGTTTTGTTTGAAAGTAAGCGATTGTCCCTACTACAGCAAACCCTAAACCCTAAACCCTAAACCCTAATCCCCAGAAAGGGTAGCATAGAGGGGGTTAGTAGGGGAACTCATTGAAAAACTGAGCCAGGTTCAACGTTGAAGCCCTGGTCAGGGGACCCGGGTGGCAGAAAAAAATGTGTGGGAGTTTGGGGTGTAAGGTTGAATGAGGGTTCAGGGGTTCAGGGGTTCAGGGGTTTAGGGTTTAGGGTTTAGGGTTTAGGGTTTAGGGTTTAGGGTTTGGGCTTCAGAGGTTCAGGGGGTTGATTTCAGGGTCTAGGGTCAGGCTGCTGATCTCGGGAACAGCGGCAAAGGAGCAGTAAGGGTTTCTGGCAACTTGCTGATAGTCGCGCACCACTGAACCCCGAACCCTCACAATGCTATAATCCTATGCACCTCAAACCCCCTACAGCCCCTTAAATTCCCCTCGTTGGCTAGGAAGAGCATGGTTGGTGATCAGGGCTTACAAGGGATGGTTTATGGGGTTCAAATTTTACGAAGCTTGGGTCATAAGGGTTCTATACAGGGTTCATAGGGCTCACGCTTTAGATTTCGGGCAAAATGGGCCGACATCAGGGTTCAGGGTGGATTTGGTGGGTACTGGCTTCTTGGGCCCTAAAGTCTTGGCTTAAGGTTGCTTTGGGCACCTGAGCCCTCAATCTGCGAAGTTTTTCAGGGCAGGGGCACAGCGGCCTTTTGAGAGACTAGCTAGCAAGTCGACATCTGAATGCGCCCTCTACTTGGCAGGCCCCAGCAGAGTGAGGTTGTCCCTAAACCCTAAGCCCTAGGCCCTAAACCCTAAACCCTTGTACCCGCGAATTCCGGCCCCTCAGCCTTTCCATTCCTCTTGGGCGTGAGGTGGCTGGTGCGCATGCTGGGGAAATGTGTGGCTCACAGTTCAAACTCCAAACCCAGTGCCACCCGTAGCCCCCAACCTACTTTTGGGGCCTGAAGAGTTATAATACGGTTTTGGGGTGTTATTCTAGTATAAATCATAGAGGGACCCTTGAGGGAATACTATTAGTAGCTATTCCGACCCCCATGCGAAACACTAGTTGAACAGGGTTGGTTTATGGTTCAGCCAAGGAGCCAGAAGGGAGATCGGTATAAAGTTGGAGAACAAGATGATGAAGTTGAAGAATCCTGGCTGCCAGGCTGCGGCACCCTTGTCTCGTACTCTTTGGCGGTTTAGGTTTTAGGGTTTAGGGCTTCTCTTTACCGATTTCGTCGCAGTGTTGGTTATCTGTGGAACTCTGACTGCGAACCGACCCCCGAACCGCATTCCCAATACAAACGTTGAAGAACTTGGGCTTAGAGGGCAGTGCTCGCTGATCATAATGCCAGGCGGGTGAGACATGAAACCCTGACACCTGGAACACAAAATGAACATCGAGGCCCTAGTTTCAGGGCTTTCGCGTTTAGGCCCAAAATCCCAAACCCCAGACGCTCAATTCTAAGCCCTCTAAACCCTAAACCCTAAACCCTAAACCCTAAACCCTAAACCCTAAACCCTAAACCCTAAACCCTAAACCCTAAACCCTAAACCCTAAACCCTAAGTCTGATTGGTAGCCGAGCCGCGGATCAGCAGGACCTCGGCGCTGCTCCAGACTAAGGACACCCCGGCTCTGAAGTCAGTAGCTTGGGTTTAGGGTTTAGGGTTTAGGGTTTAGGGGTTAGGGGTTAGGGTTTAGGGTTTAGGGTTTAGGGTTTAGGGTTTAGGGTTTAGGGTTTAGGGTTTAGGGTTTAGGGTTTAGGGTTTAGGGTTTAGGGTTTAGGGTTTAGGGTTTAGGGTTTAGGGTTTAGGGTTAGGGTTTAGGGTTTAGGGTTTAGGGTTTAGGGTTTAGGGTTTAGGGTCAAACAGACCTAGGGTTTGTTGACACTAAACCCCATGCAGAGAATTTATGAAAAATTTAGGGTTGACCTCATCGGTACTTTTCTCCTAGAGTGTTCTATAGTTATGAGTCATGAGGTACTTTACTACTTCCTTGATGTGTAACCAGGATCCGGAAATAGTTCCAGGAACAGCTGCAAGCTATTTCCGGGGTAGTGCGGTCCACTATACGGAAAACACAGGCTGACGTCCTATACCGGAAAGCCCAAACACCCTAAACTCACCCTAAACCCTGAACCCTAAACCCTAAACCAACCCTAAACCCTAAACCCTAAACCCTAAACTCTAACCCTAAACCCTAAACCCTAAACCCTAAACCCTAAACCCTAAACCCTAAACCCTTTGACTCAGTTCCTGGCTAAGAAGGCCGACTGGGCGTTGCCATTCTCGTCAGTGAGGTTCAGGTACATCTTTTTGAGATTGTCCTGCAGAAGGAATTTGGGCTCTCAAATCGCGTTCAGCGGACAAGTGATCCCAGAATATAGATTCGGAGTACCTTAAACCCTAAACCCTATATAAACCCTGATAGCAGCCCGAGCTCCGGGACTGCTAAACACCCTCAAGCTCACTGGCTGCTGCCTTACCACGAGTTCTTGCGCAGATCGCGGGATATCGAATGTGTCCACATCAGCATTCGACTTTCTGTCACTGCGGGGGTCGCCAACATCGCCATCCAGGGACTCACCTTCGACGCTGGTACCACCAGCATGGGCTATTAGGCCTTATAATCCCTAATTAACTTTATCAAGGGCCTTAAGGGGTTATAGGGTATACAGTAATAGCCCATGTAGGCAACATCCTGACGAGGGGTGGAAAGCTCAGGCGTCCCAGCCTGCTGGGCGTACGACGAGATTTTGTGGTCCTGAACGGATGTACTTTCCAGCTGCCTGAGCAAACGTCTGTATGCCCAAACTTGCATGGTAGATGGATTTGGGCTTTTGATTCTGGGTTCCGCGGGATTCGGAGTACCCTAAACCTGAAACCCTAAACCCTAAACCCTAAACCCTAAAAGCAGCCTGCCTTGCCAGAGCTCAGGGACTGAGGCCAGTGCGGGAGCTCCAGGTATCGGAAGGCCGATTGGTCGTTTTAACGGGTTTTGGGTTTTGGCTCAAAGTCGGGTGCACATAGTAGGGCCCTTAGCCATAGGTAAGTCATCATTATGGCAACCTGAATTTAGGTAAAAAGCTTCAGCCGTCCCTTCTTCACCCTAAACCCGAATTAAACCACAAATTTTAATCCTTAAACCCTAAAACCTAAGCCCACTACTCATGAACCTGAACCTGTCAGATGGTTCAAGATCTGAACTACCAGGACAACGACGAAGACTAATTCATGAAAATCCGAGCCCGTGCCTAGTGCGACTTCCCCCGCCCCATTGTTCAGGGCTTGGGGTGTAGGGTTTGGGGTTTGAAATTCGGGGTTTAGGGTTTGGGGCTAGGGTACCCTAAACCCTAAACCCTAAATCCTAAATCCTAAGCCCCATAAACCCTAACCCCGACAACCATGCCCTGAATCCCCTCGCAAAAAGTTACCCCAAGATATTCTCTACCACTTTAGGCCTGAGATTCTTGGCGAGGAGGGTTTAGGGTTTAGGGTTTAGGGTTTAGGGTTTAGGGTTTAGGGTTTAGGGTTTAGGGTTTAGGGTTTAGGGTTTAGGATTCCTCAACACCCTGAACTTTTCGGGTAATGTGGTATCCTGATTAGTGTGGGGGGGCCCCCCCCCCAAACTAAATCCACCCCCGCAAGAGTGTCTCCAAAAAAAGGGACCCCCCCAAACTAATTTTCGGCCCCGGGCCCCCCCCACCGGCTCCTCTTCATTTCCTCTTCGCTCCTCTTCCCTCTCCTCTTCCTCTCCCTCTCCTCTTAGGTAATTAAGCTCAGGTAAGCTCAGATGAGCTCAGCTTGCTCTTTTCTTTCATCATATTGTTCTCTTTTTTTCTCTCTTCCGAAACCCATGCCCGAAAAACTTTACTTTATTGTGGGGAGGCAATCGAATTTTTGTCTCCTGAATAATTTTTGGAAAACTTTTCATTATTGGAGGGGTCCAGACTAATCAGGATACGACATTAAGGAGTTGGGGACCTATGAGCAAAGAGCGAGCGCCTCGCTGGTCTCAAACATCGCGCTGGCAATGGCGGCGATGAGGCAAAGCACGTTCCTGGGAGACTGCAGGAGGTTCAGGGTTTTGGGTTTAGGGTTTTGGGTTTAGGGTTTAGGGTTTAGGGTTTAGGGTTTAGGGTTTAGGACTTAGGGCTTGGGAGTTCGGGTTTCGGGTTCAGGGTTCTTTACGTCTGTCCCGGAAAGTTCACAGAATTCCCTCAACCCTTAACCCTTAGCCCTGAAAGGGGAGACACAGTAGATCAGGAGGCGTCACGGACTCAATCCATTTAAATTTAGGACCCAGCTTAGAAATGCCCAAAACATGCCGAAGACCCCTAGAGCTAAGCCCAAACTCATCACCCTAGGCAGTAAAACCCACCACCCTCCACCCTAAAAACCCACCACCCTCCACCCCCTACATGCCCAAAGGCCTACAACCCTGAAACGCTCAACGCCCTCAACACCCTCAACACCCTCAACACCCTCAACACCCTCAACACCCTCAACACCCTCAACACCCTCAACACCCTCAACACCCTATAAACCCCGAACACCCTAAAACCCCGAACCCCTTAACCCTAAAACCCCTAAACCCGAAATCCTAAACCCCAAACCACCCTCAGGGCCCGCGGACCTTCACCCTGAACCGAGGCCCGGGCTGAATTGCAAAAACAAGAAGCGTCAACCTGGTCGGGGTCTAGGGGTTAAGGGGTTTTGGGGGTTTCGGGGTTTTGGGGTTTAGGGTTTAGGGTTTAGGATTCAGATTTCGGGTAGAAGGCTTAGGGTTTGGGGTTTAAGCTTCGCGGTTGAGGGGTTTACTGTTGTGTCTTTGCGGGGGGCCGGCAGGGCTTTCAGCATTCGGGTTTCTCTGGCTTGAAAGAGTCTTTGCTTTACCTTGCTTGGGTCAGCGTGCTTAGGCCTTGCAACCCAAACCCTAAACCCTCAAAAACCCAGAAAGAACCCTGAACCCCATAAACCCTATAGACCCTGTAAACCATGTGAACCCTGTAAACCCTACAAACCCTATGGCCCTGTAAACCCGATGAACCCCGTAAACCTTGTAAACCTTCCTTAATAAACGGGGTTCTGAAGTGAAAGCTCATGGGTTTTATAGGTGCACACGGGCATATAAGGGTTCCCCTGTATTAAGGACCCATATTAAGGGACCGTGTATAACCACCCTTACTAAACACTAAACCGCCCCAAGCCGAAAATCCTAAACCCTAAACCCTAAACCCCCAACCCTAAACCCTAAACCCTAAGACAGTGGCGAGGTAAGGGGCTTTGAGAATGAGTTTAGGGTTTAGTGGCAGCTAGGGCTTAATGGGAAAAATGGGGCTTCATGGGGTTGAGGGATTATAAGGTTTAGGGTTTAGGGTTTCTTGGCATTTCGGGATTATGGCGTTTAGGGCTTTGGGGTGTTTTGGGTCTAGGGCCTATAGGGCTTACCCCTAGATCACTAAGGCCCTAAGCCATAGACACCCAAACCCCAAACCCTAAACCCCAAACCCTAAACCCCAAACCCTAAACCCTAAACCCCAAACCCTAAACCCTTAACCCCTTAAGTACAGCCCTGAAACTCGGGAAGCCTTGCACATGGCCACGGGCCGGCGCCTTCCCAGAACCCTAAACCCTAAACCCTAAACCCTAAACCCTACACCCTACACCCTAAACCCTAAACCCTAAACGCGCCTTCCCACATCCCGCTCCAGGTGTGAGAGCTTGCGGCCCTGGCAGATGCAAGGCCATGAAGGATCCCTGAGGTAACCGAGGGTTTAGGGTTTAGGGTTTAGGGCTAGGGTTGAGGGTATAGGGTGTAGGGTTTGGGTTGAGGGTTTAAGGTATAGGGTATAGGGTATAGCCCAATCCTTCCAGGGACCTTATCTGTTGGGTACCTATGACCTCTGGTATCCTACCTGCTAGGCCCTTGGATGTTTAGCGTGGAAATGAACAGGGTACCTGTTTAGGGGTTAGGGGCTAGGGTTCAGAGTTTTAGGTGCCAGGGTTCAGGGTTGAGGGTCGTGAAGCAGCTAGCATTTTGACTTTGGGGGCCTGCGGTGGTGCAGGTCTGTGGGTTGGTGCCTTCAGGTAGTCCTTTACATAAAATCTAAACCCCTGAAATCCTAGACGAAAACACAGAGATCCCCCAACTCTGAAAAAAACTGGAAAAACCCTTCAAGCTCCTTAAGCCCTTCCAGCCCTGTGAACCCCGATCAAGCCCCATAGCTAAGCTCTAGGCGCAACATCGGCCTTCTGATTCTTGCTGTTCATCATGATCTTGGTCTCGCTGCCGCTATAGACCACCACGCCCAAGCACCAGGAGATGTTCTTGATCTTGCCTTCCATCACGGGCTTAGGGTTCAGGGTTTGGGGTTTAAAACTTCGGGTATTTGGAGTGATCCTGGCTTTTAAGTGGCTTCTTATTCTTTGATCTTTCTTTAAGGGCTCTTTGGGGTGCTTGGGGCTTAGGGGCTTCTAGGGTCTAGGGCGGGTTTAGGGCTCATGGCCCGAGGCTCAGGGATCGATGTGGTCTTCCTCCATCCACTTCAGGCTTTCGCGGGGGTGTAATGGGCTGCGCGTTTCATAGGGGGCACGAAACCCCCAAGACGCTGCATAACCCTTGCAAAATTCTGGGTTTGTGTGTGGAGTTCTCTGAGTTATAGTCCCTCTTTGGGCAATTGTCACGATGCGGAGGCTCATGGATTCAGGATACCAGAGAAGGTGCGCGAAGGCAGAGACATGCCCTGAATCCCTACCCTCACGAAGCCCTAAACTGCTCTGCGCTTAAAATACCCCAAACCAATTCCCGAATTTAGGGCTTGAACATCTTGTAACCAATGTGTCATCTTGCTGTAACCCTAAACCCTGAACCCTACTGATGCATTTCCAACTTCTGGGGTCTCAACACGAGATAACCTGATTGCATAGCCTTCAGCGAGCCATACGCTCGAAGTCTGATATGGGGTGGGTCCTCTACATGCAGGGTTTATGTTTAGGGTTTAGAAGGGTCGCTTGATTGATTTTGTTGCAACCGAACTTGCTTGATTCTTGGCTTTCAAAAAAGCTCGAACTAGGGGGGTGCTCCAGATTGGGTGGGATCCTTGACCCGAATCAGGCCGAAACACCCGAAAGCTTGAGGGCTTTGGGGTTCAGGGTCTAGGGTTAGGGTTTGGGATTTAGGTTTAGGGTTTAGGTTTAGGGTTTAGGGCTTGGGGTTTGGGGGGTTCAGGGTTCACGGTTTGGGAACCCCAAGAATACCCAAGCCCGGCAGTGGCAGGCAGGACACATCCCCGGAGGACGACGTGCTGCTCGTCCAGGGAGACGTTCTGCTCGCCACCTGGAGATTCTAGGGTTAAGGGCGGGGGTTTAGGGTTTAGGGTTTAGGGTTTGGGGTTTGGGGTTTGGGGTTTACGGTTAGGGGGGTTGATGGGGGGCGGGCACCAAGGGAACCTTAGGGAAGCTTAGGGAGCCTTAGGGAGCAGTGCCGTTAACCTTAAACCCTAAACCCTAAACCCTAAACCCTGAACCCTAAACCCTAAACCCCCTCCCTTAAGACCCTATAAGGAGAAGAGAAGCTGCTGCTAAACGTCCGAAAACTTCAGGTTGCTGGTCCTACTGAAAAGAGTCTTCGGGTTCAGGGTTCAGGGTTCAGGGTTCAGGTTTTAGAGTTTAGGGTTTAGGGTTCAGGTTTCAGGGTTCAGGGCTCAGCGTTCAGGGTTCAGGGTTGCGGGCTTAGGGTTTAGGGTCTAGGGTCTAGGGTTCCTAAGCCCTAACCCCCGAACCCCCAAACCCTTGCGGGCTCAGGCGTGCTCGGGCCCCGCAACACTCAACCCGAAAAGACCCGACCGAAACGCTCAAACCCTTGGGAGTAAACCCTGAACTTGCACGGTTTAGGGGTTAGGGTTTAGGGTTTAGGGTTTAAGGTTTAGGGTTTAGGGTTTAGGGTTGTTGGGGGCAGCCAAAGGTTGCAAACCTCCGTTGGACCCAAACTTCCTAAGTTAGTAAACCCTAAACCCTAAACCCTAAACCCTAAACCCTAAACCCTAAACCCTAAACCCTAGTCCTAGCTCTGAGATCCCAAGAGTCATTCGGGTTTCGGGCTTAAAAGGTCTTGGGATGCCAAAGTTTGTGCACCCTCTCAATACCCTCATCGCATAGGCCGCTGAGCTTGCCACCGGCGCTGTTGGCCTTGATGTTCCCGGCCTCAGGGTTTAGGGTTTAGGGTTTAGGATTTAGGGTTTAGGGTTTAGGGTTTAGGGTTTAGGGTTTAGGGTTTAGGGGCTGGAGGAAGGATAGCGGAGAATAGGGTTTGGCGGTTTAGGCCTTAGGGTTTGGGTCTGAAACCCAGAAACCCAAGACTCTGAACTAAACTTCCGGGGAGATGTGCAGAAGGTTCAGGGTCGAATGGTCTCCCCAAAAACTTTAGCAGTTCGCCGGCAACCATTATGGCCCTGAACTCTACAACCCCAAACCCAAGCAGAACCCAAACCCCCACCCGAAAAGCCTGTTTAGGGTCTAGAAGGTAGGGTGCAGGGTCCCTAAACCGTAAGGTAGACTAACTAGACCCAAGCGCAACCCAGGAATAAAAAGAGTGTCCTTTGTTTTGGTTTAAAGGGGCTTCTAAGGGAACCTAAACCCTAGCCCTAAACCCCTAAACCCTAAACCCTAGACAAAAGGGAAGCTAGGGACTACCCTGGGTCCTCGTGAACTCAACAGCCCAGTTGTCAGCTCTGGGTCTGCCAAGTAGGGGCCTTTTTCTTGAAACGCTCAAAAGGAGCCTGCACTCTCAAATGGGGTTTAGGGTTTAGGGTTAGGGTTTAGGGTTTGGGGTTTGGGATTGAGGATTTAGGGTTTAGCGTTCGGGGTGTAGGGTTTAGGGTTTAGGAAATCCAAAAGCCTTATACCCACCCTTAGCGTACAAAAACCTGACCGCAGGCAAGCAACGAACGTGTAGAGGAATTCGTTTGGCAGCTCGCACTCCTTGCTCGGCTGTCTCTCGGTGTATGGCTTTAGGGTCTGGGGTTTAGGGTTTAGGGTTTAGGGTCTGGGATGAAGGATTGGGAATTTGGGTATACCAGTTCAGCTATCGTACTGACTGGAGTGTTGGCGTTCGGGGCGGTCCTGGCTTTTTCCCGCCTATTCTTCGCGCGCGTGGGGCAGAGTAGCACCCGAGGGTTTAGGGTTTAGGGTGTAGGGTATAGGGTATAGGGTTGAGGGTTTGTGGTTTAGGGTTTAGGGTTTATATAGGGTTTAGGGTTTAGGGCAACTAGTGGACACAATGGGCACGCGCTCTGGAGAAGCTAGACAAAGTTCCCCAGCAAGCTGCGAAGACTAGCAGCTGGACTTGTTTTGGTTCAGTGGAGTTCATGCGGGAACAGGGTAAAATCGGGGTTTACGATGATCGGGGTACCTTAATGGGGTCCTTTTTATAACTTTTGGGGGTCTATATTCGGGGTCCCCTATTTTCGCAAACTCCCAAATCCAGCAAGGAAAAGGGCTATGCCAGGCATGTGGAGAGCTTCCACGGTTTAGGGTTTAGGGTTTAGGGTTTAGGGTTTAGGGTTTAGGGTTTAGGGTTTAGGGTTTAGGGAGACCCTTCCTCATAGTAGTCAGTCAAGCGTCGTATGGTCAGGGTAACAGCTGACATTAGGCTGACATCGGATTGAGCAATGTAGGTCCCAGCAAAACAGGGCATAAGGGCCTACTCTGGGTCCTAGGAACCCTAAACCCTAAACCCTAAACCCTAAACCCCAAACAACGGAATAAGGACGCCGACTCTGGGTCCGAGATCTTGGGTGCGGCCGGGCGACGCACTTCATGTCAATTTGAGATGCAGCCCTGGCTGCCTCCTCCATAGTCTCCTGAACCGTGTTCCAAGGTCAGGTGGGGTTTGGGGCTAGCCCTAAACCCTAAACCCTAAACCCGAAACCCTAAACCCTAAACCCTAAACCCAGGGTGCATGGCCGGGACCCCTTTAGGACCGGCCCCAATAACAAGAACATCTTCAAATGCTGCACCCTAAAGGTTTAGGGTTTAGGGTTTAGGGTTTAGGGTTTAGGGTTTAGGGTTTAGGGTTTAGGGTTTAGGGTTTAGGGTTTAGGGTTTAGGGTTTAGGGTTGAAGACGTCCTGGGTCTTAAGGTGTAGGGTAGGGCTGCGGGTCTGGGGAAGGAGCCCTCCTCAGCCCATCCATCGTACTTGGAGGTTCATGGTACTTACTAACCAGTTATAACTGTACTCATAGGGTTTAGGGTTAGGGGCTTAGGGTTTAGGGTTTGGGGTTTAGGGTTACTGTACGTACAACTGCACTTATAACCATATTGGAAAACACTTAAGGGGCTTAGAAGTGGGGTACAAGTACAGTTATAACTGGTTAATAAGTATCATGAATCAGAAAATCATGAACCTCCAGGTATCCTTTCTGCTTGTGTTGCATCCTCCGTGCTCCCCTTGCTATCATTTTTGCGCGCACGCTTCGGGTGTCTCTCGACAACCTCTGCGTGTTCTGAAAGCCTCCTGAACCCCAAACCCGAAACCCACGTCCCAAGAGCCCAAAACCCGAAACCCTCCGACGCCCAAAACCCTAAACCCTAAACCCTAAACCCTAAACCCTAAACCCTAAACCCTAAACCCCTGAGCCCGCGGCATGCTGGCCGACCATCTTGAAAGTGCGGGCAGGTGCCTGCGCCGGTTTTGAGGTTTTAAGGGTTTAGGGTTTAGGGTTTAGGGTATAGGGTTTAGGGTTTAGGGTTTAGGGTTTTGGGTTCAGGGTAACCGAGATTCCGAACTTAACCTAAACCCTAAAACAGAAACCCTCAACCCCTGAACCCTGGACCCCAAACTTTACCCCAAAACACTTCAGTTGCCATACGTTCTCGGGGCAGGGGTTGAGCGTGGAGCTCCTGCAGGGTAGGGCCAGAAGCTTCAGGAATTCATGGTATTGCGTCAGGTTTTGGGGGTTTCCACCGTATTGGGGTTCCTTAGTAAGGGAATCCTACTATTCGCGGGTCTATGTTAAGGGTCCCCGTATTTTCGTAAGCCTTCTTTTGGGTAGGTTTGGAGGTAGGTTTGGAGGAAGGAGCAGGCTACCACCACATGAGGTCCGTCTAGCGGCAGCTCTTACTTACTCACCTGCACCATGGCTACGGTGACGACGACGAGTTTCGAGGGCTTGTGGGCGTCTGCCCTGAACCCTAACCCTAACCCTAAACCCTAAACCCTAAACCCTAAACCCTAAACCCACAACCCTAAACCCTAATCCCTAAGTGGAAATCTGGAGGTTTAAGCCTAGCAGTCCGGGAGCTTGGGGGGAGCCATGTCTCAGAAGCCGCTGTACTTGTGTCTACGAGTCTAGGCGGGGAGTCCGGAAACCTAAGCCCTCACGGGTTTAGGGTCTAGGGTTTAGGGGTTTAGGGTTTAAGGTTTAGGGTTTAGGGCATATTTCTTTCGTGCGGGCTTTTATCTTTCTTTCTTATAGCCCGCGGTTCTAATCTTAATACAATTTTAATCTCCTTTTATTAGTATTATTAACCGGGCAAATAAGAAATACAATTGTTGCCCGGAAAATAATAAAGTTATAACGGGCCCTTATAATATACTTGTAGGCCCGTATATTTAGTATATTTTATTAGTATTTTTCCCGGGCGCATAAAAAGACTCAATAAATGCCCGGGGCTTACTAAATAATAAGTCTTTAGTGTTCACCTTTGGAATATTATTATAGCGGGCCTTTAAAGTATTATAATTGGGCCCGTTATCATATTATTACTGCGGCCCTTTTAATAATAATAATGGGCCCCTATAGTAGGCAATCCTGCAATCTCAAAACCTTCAACCCTAGGAAATTTGCGAATGCTGGGAACCCTGCCCGAGGAACCCTCGGAACTCTAGGAACTCTAGGAAACCTAGGAAGCCCAAACCCTAAGCCCTAAACCCTAAACCCTAAACCCTAAAACCTAAACCCTAAACCCTAAACCCTCTAGACCCTTAGTGCATTACTCTGAGATGTGGGCCTGTTTTGTCTTCAGGTTGGTCTCGCCATCCAAGTTCGCAGTCTCAATATAGACCTCGGCTCAGGGTGTTTAAAGGTTGCCGCTGTTCTGTTTAGCTCAGGTTTGGGGCTCAGAGTGTAGGGCTTTAAGAGTTTAAGAGTTTTAAGAGTTCAAGGGTTTAAAGGTATCAGGTTTAAGGCTTAAGTTTAGTGAGCTTTGCGTGGCCGTGTCCAGCTGTCAGGAATTGGTTCTGTCTGGGCTGCTTGGCGGCGGCAACGGAGGGGTCCGCGCCACGGAATCAGGAAGGAGGGCGCTACTTGAAGGTTCATGGTACTTACGAACCAGCTAGAACTGTACTTATAGCCCACTTATAAGCCCCTTAAGTGCCCTAATATGGTTACAGGTACAGTTAGAAGTACAATTGCTTGATATGTACCATGAACCTCCAAGTAGGCGAACAGCCGGCAATCGGGCCGCATGAAGGCGTTGGGCGTGCCCAGTTCTTCGTACCCAAAGAGCCCAAGAATTATCACTTAATTCCTTGATGGAAGAATATACCTCAAATCATGTTTTAGGGATCCTTAATATGATTAAACGGTATATACCTTCATTAAGGGGGTAGCTCTCGGGGGGGTACACAGAGTAAGGCACCAAGGGGCTAGGGTTCCGAGGGTTTAGGGTTTGGTCCTAGGGTTCCTAGTCTCATTGAGTCTCATTGAGTCTCAATTGGCATCACTCCCCTGTCGTTCAGAAGCTGGCGGCCACAACACATGCATGGTTTGGGCTTTTGGTTTACGGCCCTTTTTTACCCTAAAGCCCCACACCCAACTGATCCTCAAAGGCCCTAAACCCTGAATTAATCCTAAGCCCAGTAAAACCCCCAAACCCTTGAACCCTTAAACCATACAACCCCCAAAACCCTTAAACCCTCAAACCCTGAAACCCCAAAACCGTAAAGAGCCTGCAACCCTAAAACCCTAAAACCGCGTAAACCATCAAACCCGAAAACGCAGGCTTCAGGCCACTTCAGCTTCAGGCTTAACCTTGAGGCCTTTCAGTAGGGTACCTAGGGAACCCGCTAAGGGGTATGTATACTATACATATATATATATGCTTATATTAATAGGGTTTGGGGTTTGGGGTTTAGAGATTCGGATTTAGCATTCCCTCAAGACCCTGATGTAGGCTAACCCCCCCACCACCCCCCCCGGACCCTAAACCCGAAACCCCAAAACCCTAGTGCAGACGAACTCCCCCCCCCCCAAAGAAAAAAACAAAACCCTAAACCCTAAATCGGTGTCAAGAACATGGCCATGCTTGCCGAGGGACATGGCCTTCCTCATGGGAAGTCGTCAGCAGGACCTCAGCTTGGGTTCAGGGTTTAGGGCCCTACTTTCTAAGGGTGTAGGGTTTAGGGTTTAGGGTTTAGGGGTTAGGGCTAGATCCCAGAGTACCCTAGGAATAAACAGGGTACCCTTTTTTGGTTTAAAAGGGGCTTCTAAGGGAACCCAAACCCTAACAAAAGATGGGCCGTAGTTAATGTGCTCAGGGTTCAAGGTTTAGGGCTACAGGCCTGGCGTTTCGTGTTCCGGGTTTGGGAGGGGCAGGGAATTGGCGCACCAAGAAAAAACACAAAGAGGTTGCGTGCTAGGGTGCTGGGCAGGCCAAGAAAGACTCCGTCTTACTGCACGAGAAGGACAATCTCTGAAAACTTCTTGATTTGGAGCCATCCTAGACCCCTGAAGGCTTCACACTCGATCCTGAGCCCTAGGTAAACAAAACAAAACCAATGATCTGCTAAAGTCCTTGCAGTTTTCGAAAATCAGGGGTACATGTTGGCGGGGGACCTTTCAAGGCGTCTTCTTCGTGGTTCTCATTGTGGCGCGAACAACCCTAAACGTGGGTTTAGGGTAACGGTTTAGGGTTTAGGGTTGAGGGTTTAGGGTTTGAGTATCAGGGCTTGATTAGGGGTTGAGAACTCTACAGTTCCAAGACCTCGAGCTAAGATCCGGAGGTTGAACCCGGCATTCGGACACGTGGCTAGGTCAGCTGGGACGTACTCGTTCTGCCTGCACGCTGCGTGCGGTGTCGAGGGATTCAAGGTCCAGTCAACCCTAAACCCTAAACCCTATAAACCCTATAAACCCTATAAACCTGAAAACCACTAGGTTGCTTGTACGGCGTAGGGCCCACAGACTCCTGACACATTTGTGATCGACATGCAAAACCCCAAAAGACCATAAACCCCAAACCCTAAACCCCAGACCCTAAACCCCAAACCCGGACCCTAAATTCTGTCCCTTTGGGCTTTAGCGTTTGGGATCCGGGCGTACAAGGGTTTAGCTTCAGAAGTGTTGGGGCTGGCGAAGCGCAACATGTAGCTTGAGGAGTCCCATTAACAACCCCGCAACCCTAAACCCTAAACCCTAAACCCTAAACCCTAAACCCTAAACCCGATCATGACTTACGTTCACCTTTCAGAGGTTAGGGCTTCGGGCTCAGGGTGGGCCATGAGTTGGAGCTTCGAGGATTCAAGGGTTTGGGAAGTAGTTTAGGGTCTGGGACTTCGTCTGATCCGCAAAAAGCCCAGCAAGAGTATCCATCATTGGCAAGTGTGCGGCACAGGGGGTTCGGCACATTTTTGCCGGAGGACCCCTAAGTCTCGGCCCCTCACCCTAAACCCTAAACTGGCAGCCTAAGCACTGACCCCCTGACGCTGAAAATATGGCTGAGGCATAGGGCTTAGGAATTCGGGTTTTATGGGCCCCTAAACCCTAAACCCTAAACCCTGAACCCCAAACCCTAAACCCTAAACCTGAAACCGTAAACCCTAAGCCCCACCGAGCAAGGCCTCACGATGACCATGCTGCCGACCTTATCTTTCAACGCAGCGGTGGCAGGGATCCAGTTCTCCGTGGCTCCTGTAACCCTAAACCCTAAACCCTAAGCCCTAAGCCCCAAGCCCTAAACCCTAAACCCTGAACCCTAAACCCTAAAAGGCCCTGCGGAGAAGGGGCAGGAGGGGGTGTGTCAGCCGAGCGGCATGAAGGTCGCACCACTTGCGAGTCTTCAGCGACGCCTGCTGTCAAACCCTACACCCTAAACCCTTAAACCCTAAAACCATGAAACCCTAAACCCTAACCCTAAACCCCAAATCCTACCCAACCCAAAACCTTGGGCCCTAAACTGTACACTCCATCGACCCTTTAAACCCCAAAGCCCGAAAACCCTGGAATCAGGGTGTCAGGCGTAGGTTTGCAAGGCAACGCCAAGCCGCTGCCCGGATGGATGCTTGCTACACTACATCTTCAGGATCTGCATATGGGTGGTTGTCAAAATCATGGTCCTTTTTAGATCCCTATTATAATACGGCACATACTATTTAGGGTACCCCAAGAGGGATTATAATTTTGACAACCACCCATATGCATGGGGTACAGGGTATAAGGTCTTCAGGGTTTGTAAGGTTGAAGAAGGTGAAGGGATCTTAGGGTTTAGGGTTTAGGGTTTAGGGTTTAGGGTGTAGGGTTTAGGGTTCAAAGGAACTGCCAACATGAAAGCCGGTCTTTAAGCACGGGAGGCTGGGCGGGGCTCTGTGAAGACTCCATTTCTCAGCTACTCTCAGCAATGGAGCTCTCAACCGTACCTCAGCAAGCTGAAACCCTAAACCCTAAACCCTGAAACCCTAAACCCT